TCACTTTACTATGGCACGTTAACTTTTCAAAATTTGGAAGTACCATAACTTCATTTTTTTAAATGGCACCCCGCATATTTTATTTCTTAGTCGTCTTCGGTGTCTCATTCTACATCTTTTATATCCCATATGTCCCATGCCTAATATTAATAGTTTGGGAGATAATTAGGGTTTTTTGAAAAATGCACACATATCATATGGATATTTAGCCTAGTGTGCCATGAAGAGAACGTAATTGATAATACTCAAGTCTGCATTCTCAAATTTTTTGTTTGGCCAGAACCCCAGAAACGTCTAATGACCTGTCTCGCTGAGACACCCTGTATAAAATGAAATTGTTGGTGTTTCTGGCAAGTTTATCAAATAGCAGAAATTAAAAATTACTTGTTGGTATGTGTCAAAACGACACTAATCGTTTGGAAAAATGTTGAAACGAAGGCTAAACTGTTGGTAATACTTCTGGTGAACGCAAAACTTGCTTAAGTGTGTTTGAAAAGAAGACCACCATATAAACAGAGCCACAACATTATTAGTTGAAGAGTCCTATCCCAGAACAGGACGCAATAAAGTTGCAAAAATGCGTTTGTATGCTCGAAACGGTGAAAATGGACTTTCTAAGAAGAGTATGCAGAGTATCAAGCCTGAAACATGTTGCAAATAAAATTGAAATTGATGAGGTTCAAACCAAACAGTTGATATGGCATAATAATATAAACCGATGGCTAAAAAGAGCTTTTGATATGTATCTCAACATAGAAGAAAAAGAGGTAGACCAAATATATCCTGGATTTAAGTGATCAGACAGATTATAACTGATCGAGCCATACCAAAAGAAGGATGAAGGAATAGAGAAGAATGGCAAGATCGAAATGTGGGATGCGGTAAAGGAACCCTGCCATTATACAGGGTTTTTCGGTGACTCGGGGAATAAATGTAACCACATGTACTAGAGTGAAAATGATGACGATTCATGTAAAAAAAAATTAGTAAAAGTCCCCAAATTACAAAGATACAGGCCATCAAAGTTAGAAAATTTTAACACATTTTTCTAAATATCTTAAACACTATCATTAGGCAATTTTTGAGTTGGATCGGTACGCGGGAACAATGCTATACAGGCTGTTCCTAAAGTTTGTTTGCTCAGAACTTTTTTATTCTATCATTTATTTTTGCAGTTTCTAATAGTAAATTTAGTTTAGAAACTTTTATCATTCCACCGTTTTCGAATTAAATGCAAAAATGTTAGGCTCCGAATTCAATAACACTAAAAAAAATAAATAAATAATCTGAATTGGCAATGACAAGTGAAAATCGAACTGAGCTGTCATAACTAGTATATATGCAACATGTCCAAGTGTAGGTTTAGATAAATCACATTTTTAATTTGTTTTAGTTGGTTTAATAAAACAATCCAAAAACAATAAATTAAAAATCAACATAAAGTAAACAAAAAAACGACAACAAGACAAATAATAAAAAATACTAAAGGAAATGTTCAAAAACTTAGATTTCTTTTTTTTTAGTGCTATTATTGAAATCGGAACCCAACATTTTTGCATTTAACACGTAAACGGTGATTTTTATCAATAATATCTAAGAGTAATAAAAGTTTCTAAACTAAATTTTCTATTAGAAACTGCAAAAACAAATGTAGGGTTATGATAGAATAAAAAAGTTCTGAGCAAACAAACTTTAGGAACAGCCGGTATAGCATTGTTCCCGCGTACCGATTCAACTCGTAAATTGCCTAACGATTTTACATCACATTGATTTATACTGTACCAAATTTAAACGTTTTACTGTAAATAGTGTTTAAGACATTTGAAAAAATGTGTTATAATTTCCTAACTTTAATGGCCTGTTTGAAATTTCAAGACTTTTACTAATTTTTTTACATGAATCGTCATCATTTTCACTCTAGTATACCTGGTTAAATTTGTTCCCCGAGTCACCGAAACACCCTGTATATAAGATAAAATTGTTGGTGTTTTTGACAAATTTATCAAATAGCAGAAATCAGTAATCGTTTGGAAAAATGTTGAAACGAAGGCTAAACTGTTGGCAATACTTCTGGTGAACTCAAAACTTGCTTTAAGTGTGTTTGAAACGAAGACCACAATAAAAACAACGCCACGACATTATTAGTTGAAGAGTTCTGTCCCAGAACAGGACTCAAAAATGTCGCAAAAATGCGTTTGTATGGTCGAAACGGTGAAAATGGACTTTCTAAGAAGAGTATGCAAAGTATCAAACCTTAAACGTGTTACAAATGAAATTGAAATTGATGAGGTTGAAACCAAACAGTTGAAATGGTATAATAATATAAACCGATGGTCAAAAAGAGCTTTTGATATGTATCGCAACATAGAAGAAAGAGAGGTAGACCAAGTATATCCTGGATTTAAGTGATCAGACAGATTATAACTGATCGAGCCATACCAGAAGAAGGATGAAGGAATAGAGAAGAATGGCAAGATCGAAATGTGGGATGCGGTAAAGGAACCCTGCCATTATATATAAAATGAAATTGTTGGTGTTTCTGGCAAGTTTATCAAATAGCAGAAATTAAAAATTACTTTTGGTATGTGTCAAAACGACATTAATCGTTTGGAAAAATGTTGAAACGAAGGCTAAACTGTTGGGAATACTTCTGGTAAACGCAAAACTTGCTTTAAGTGTGTTTGAAAAGAAAACCACCATATAAACAGCGCCACGACATTATTAGTTGAAGAGTCCTGTCCCAGAACAGGCCTCAGAAATGTCGCAAAAATGCGTTTGAATGGTCGAAACAGTGAAAATGGACTTTCTAAGAAGAGTATGCAGAGTATCAAACCTTATACGTGTTACAAATAAAATAGAAATTGATGAGGTTGAAACCAAACAGTTGATATGGCATAATAATATAAACCGATGGCCAAAAAGAGCTTTTGATATGTATCTCAACATAGAAGAAAGAGAGGTAGACCAAGTATATCCTGGATTTAAGTGATCAGACAGATTATAACTGATCGAGCCATACCAGAAGAAGGATGAAGGAATAGAGAAGAATGGCAAGATCGAAATGTGGGATGCGGTAAAGGAACCCTGCCATTATATACAGGGTGTCTCAGCGAGACCGGTCATTAGACGTTTCTGGGGTTCTGGCGAAAATAAAAATTTGAGAATTCAGACTTAAGTATTATCAAATACGATCTCTTCGTCTAAAATATATTCAGATTTCTTGCACTTCCGGTTATACCGGAAGTCGCCACCAACTTTATTGTTTTAAATGGAACACCCTGTATATTTTTACATATTTGGACTTGTCTGTTTTCAAGATTTATAAATAACTTTACTTTTTGCAATTTGATTCGGCCGTTCTCAAGTTATTCGATTTTTTCTAGAAAAATCTGCTCCAGCAGACATTTGTTCAAAAAATCAGAGAACACTCGATTTTTGGGATATCAATTTAGGATTGAGAACATGCTTAAGCAACATGATGGAGTATGTTTTGGTGTCAAGAACTGCTGTCTAGAACGTTTGGTCACTGTACTATGGCACGTTATCTTTTCAAAATTTGGAAGTACCATAACTTCATTTTTTTAAATGGCACCCCGCATATTTTATTTCTTAGTCGTCTTCGGTGTCTCATTCTACATCTTTTATATCCCATATGTCCCATGCCTAATATTAATAGTTTGGGAGATAATTAGGGTTTTTTGAAAAATGCACACATATCATATGGATATTTAGCCTAGTGTGCCATGAAGAGAACGTAATTGATAATACTCAAGTCTGCATTCTCAAATTTTTTGTTTGGCCAGAACCCCAGAAACGTCTAATGACCTGTCTCGCTGAGACACCCTGTATAAAATGAAATTGTTGGTGTTTCTGGCAAGTTTATCAAATAGCAGAAATTAAAAATTACTTGTTGGTATGTGTCAAAACGACACTAATCGTTTGGAAAAATGTTGAAACGAAGGCTAAACTGTTGGCAATACTTCTGGTGAACTCAAAACTTGCTTTAAGTGTGTTTGAAACGAAGACCACAATAAAAACAACGCCACGACATTGTTAGTTGAAGAGTTCTGTCCCAGAACAGGACTCAGAAATGTCGCAAAAATGCGTTTGTATGCTCGAAACGCTGAAAATGGACTTTCTAAGAGTATGCATAATATGAAACCTGAAGCACGTTCCAAATGAAATTGAAATTGATGAGGTTGAAACCAAACAGTTGATATGGTGATATGGTAATATAAACAGATGACCAAAAAGAGCTTTTATGTACCTCAACATAGAAGAAAGAGAGGTCAAATACATCCTGGATTTAATTGATCAGACAGATTACAAGTATAACTGATTACCAGAAGAGGGATGGAGGAATAAAGAAGAATGGCAAGATTGAAATGTAACAAGAAGATAAATTATTAATATTGTCTACTTTTTATCTATTATTTACAACATTTTACCTTTCTCTTTATCCTCATATTTTTCTTCTTTAACGTCAATTTCTTTTGCCAACATATTTAAAAAAAGAATAACTCACTGCCACTTTCACTGTCGATTTCAAGAAACTCTTAGTTCCATGGAAATATACTTAAAAGTAATTACATTCAAGTTGTGTTTCACAATTTATATTATAATATACTCACTCACCAAAGCAAATAAGATTAAAATTATTGTTATGACAGAACAATCGTTTTCGTTCATAAAAACATGCACACCATAAAGTAAGTGTAAATAATGATCAGGATATTTAAGGATTTTTTTGACATTAATGAGTTTTAAATAAGCACTTTGAAAATTGTTAAAATCATTGAGTAGAGTAGATTCAACCGTTTTTAATGGTTGTGTTGCCAAGAATAAATAAAATTTAAAAAAATGGGTGAAAATCGATTAAAATATATTAATATTTTCTTGTTTATAACAAATCTTTTTGGAATAACACCACCGTTAGATAAAACTTTTCGTCTTAAAACGTACTCAAAAAAGTTAAGAATTTTTTACATAATCGTAATAATTTTCACATTTCTTTTCACCACCGATGGAAAAAGAAGACTTTTATACATTTATATCGGTGGAACAATCGCCGTTTTGGATTTAACCCCCGTGATCGCATTTACAATCGCCGTAATTATTAATATTTTCCAATGCACCATCGTTAAACCGAAAAAATACGAAAACATTTATCACACTTTATATTTAATCGAAGAAAAACTTTCAAATTACAACATAAAACGTACAAAAATCTTGTTTCGAATCTTACCAATTTATTTATCTTGCATATTTGGCGCAATAATCCTATTAATCAACTTAAAAGTTTGCGACGATTTAACACAAAGTTTGTATTTTTGTCTAATATGGTATGTACCACCGGATTTATATAAAATTGGGTTTATTTTTATTTATGGACAATTACACAGTTTACTTATTTATTTAAGAGAAAATTTTAGAGATTTATGCAGAGCTTTTGAAAGCGTTGTTAAATCATGTAATAATTATAGTGAATGGAAATTTAATGACGAAATTCAACGTGTTATTAAAATATACGATCTTTTATGCGATGTAATGAACATGATTAATGAATTATTTGGTTCAACAATTTTTCTTCTTTACGTCTATTCATTTATCACAATTTTATTCGGATTAAATCAAATATTTATGATTGGAGAGTTAATTTTTATATTTCAAAGGAACCAAATTATTATGTATGTTATGGTTTATGCAACAGTCAGTCTTGCTGGTTTTGTAAGGAATATATCGAGAATTTCATATAATTCGCAATATATGAATGCAGTAATCATAGTTATGAGAAACTACTTTGCACTTGCATTATCCCACATAAAATGCAACATAATAGTACAGGCATTGGGTAGTTTTGCATTGATAGTACTAGCACTATCATTAGAACTAACACATGACCTATAGTTCGTTTTTTTTCTATAATACTTGTCAACGTAAATTTTTTAGGGTTTCTGTTGGTATTATCTAGGACCCTTATAAAATTTACGTTATTTTCCTGATTTTTAGTAACATTTTCAGTAACTAAATAGCTGAGGTTAAAATACTAATAAATTTGTAGATAAATACGATTTTAACGAAGTACATATTTATTGTAAAAACGTGCTAAAAAGTAATTAAATAGAACAAAACACCTTTTCTAGGTAAGTAAATGGCAAATAAACACCTCACAACATTTTTTATGCACTTTTTCTTTTGGAATAACGAAAGCTCAAACGTCAGTGTGACGTATCTACTTCAAAACATGATAAAACAAAATTCCTTGTTAATTTTGCCAACTTTACAACAATTTCACAGGTATTATAGAAAAAAAATGAACTATAGAACTAGAAACATTGGGATTTAGCCGCACGTCTTTCAAGACGGCTAAACCCGAATGATTTTAGTTCTAGGTCTAGTATTAGTTCTAGTTTTAGTTCAATGAAAATATACAACATAGATATCTAGTGCTAACTTGCACTATCTGGTATTGTCACTAGTCACTAGAACTAACATTAGACCTAAAACTAGAAACATTCGGGTTTAGACGTGCGTCTCTTAAGACGGCGAAACCTGAATGATTCTAGTTCTAGTTCTAGATCTAGTGTTAGTCCTAGTTTTGCACCAGCCAATAGAACTAATATAAGACCTAGAACTAGAATCATTCGGGTTTAGCCGCACGTCTTTCAAGGCGGCTAAACCCGAATGATTCTAGTTCTAGGTCTTGTGTTAGTTCTAGTGATAGTGCTAGTGCAAAACTAGACTTAACACAAGACCTGGAACTAGAAACATTCGGATTTAGCCGTACGTCTTTCAAGACGGCTAAACCCGAATGATTCTAGTTCTAGGTCTTGTGTTAGTTCTAGTGATAGTGCTAGTGTAAAACTAGAACTAACACTAGACCTAGAACTAGAAACATTCGGATTTAGCCGCACGTCTCTCAAGACGGCTAAACCCGAATGATTCTAGTTCTAGGTCTTGTGTTAGTTCTAGTGATAGTGCTAGTGTAAAACTAGAACTAACACTAGACCTAGAACTAGAAACATTCGGATTTAGCCGCACGTCTCTCAAGACGGCTAAACCCGAATGATTCTAGTTCTAGGTCTTGTGTTAGTTCTAGTGATAGTGCTAGTGTAAAACTAGAACTAACACTAGACCTAGAACTAGAAACATTCGGATTTAGCCGCACGTCTCTCAAGACGGCTAAACCCGAATGATTCTAGTTCTAGGTCTTGTGTTAGTTCTAGTGATAGTGCTAGTGTAAAACTAGAACTAACACTAGACCTAGAACTAGAAACATTCGGATTTAGCCGCACGTCTCTCAAGACGGCTAAACCCGAATGATTCTAGTTCTAGGTCTTGTGTTAGTTCTAGTGATAGTGCTAGTGTAAAACTAGAACTAACACTAGACCTAGAACTAGAAACATTCGGATTTAGCCGCACGTCTCTCAAGACGGCTAAACCCGAATGATTCTAGTTCTAGGTCTTGTGTTAGTTCTAGTGATAGTGCTAGTGTAAAACTAGAACTAACACTAGACCTAGAACTAGAAACATTCGGATTTAGCCGCACGTCTCTCAAGACGGCTAAACCCGAATGATTCTAGTTCTAGGTCTTGTGTTAGTTCTAGTGATAGTGCTAGTGTAAAACTAGAACTAACACTAGACCTAGAACTAGAAACATTCGGATTTAGCCGCACGTCTCTCAAGACGGCTAAACCCGAATGATTCTAGTTCTAGGTCTTGTGTTAGTTCTAGTGATAGTGCTAGTGTAAAACTAGAACTAACACTAGACCTAGAACTAGAAACATTCGGATTTAGCCGCACGTCTCTCAAGACGGCTAAACCCGAATGATTCTAGTTCTAGGTCTTGTGTTAGTTCTAGTGATAGTGCTAGTGTAAAACTAGAACTAACACTAGACCTAGAACTAGAAACATTCGGATTTAGCCGCACGTCTCTCAAGACGGCTAAACCCGAATGATTCTAGTTCTAGGTCTTGTGTTAGTTCTAGTGGGTGGTGCAAAACTACGACTAACACTAGACTTAGAACTAGAAACATTCGGGATTAGCCGAACGTCTCTTAAGACGGCTAAACCCGAATGATTCTACTTCTAGCTCTAGTGTTAGTTCTAGTTTTACACTGACTGTCATTAGAAACTAGAAACATTCGTGTTTAGCCGTCTTAAGAGACGTTCGGCTAAACCCGAATGTTTCTAATTCTAGGTCTAGTGTTACTTCAAGTTTTGCACTAGAACTAACACAAGACCTAGAACTAGAATCATTCGGCTTTAGCCGTCTTGAGAGACGTGCGGCTAAACCCGTATGTTTCTAGTTCTAGGTCTAGTGTTAGTACAAGTTTTAGTTCAATAAAAATATAGAACATAGTGATATCTTACGTTAACTAGCGCTACCTACCACTATGACTAGAATTAACATTAGACTTACAACCAGAAACATTTAAACATGTTGCATATTATGTGATACAAAGTAGATACGCCCTGGCTTCTACTAGAAATAAATTTTTGTATATTGCATTTTAAGTGAAATTCACCATATGGTTTATTTAGTTTAATTAATAATTTTTTTCTAGTTAATACTAATTTTATCATCGATTACATCTGAATCTATAAATAATGAAATGGTTTATTTATCCTCGATTATTTTAAAGACAATCGTTAAGCTTAAACGAGAAAATCCAATTTTAGAAAGAAACTCAAAAGAAGCTTTATTAATTTTATCGAATAGAATTGTTTATCATTCTCCGGTTATTTCCGCAAATGGATTTTTTAAGCTAAATAAAACTTTGTTATTTTTATTGCTTAATAATATATGTTCTTATTTAGTTGTTTTAATTCAATATAATAACTCTAAAACTACAAATGTTTTTACATCAACGAATCATTAACAAGCCAAGACAAAGGCTGGATTTAAAAGGAAAGGATTTATTTTCCACTGGAGGTAATAAATTGTTATTTTTATTTATTAATCTTAAATTATTTTATTATATTAATTATTATTTAAGTTTTGTGCAAGAATTCATATCCAAATGATTCTCAACACGGTAGTGGTACAATATTGGTTGTGACAATTCTTATATTAAAACTATAATAACTAACTTATTTAGATTTAAAAAAGATTGTATTATTGTTACCCAATTGACTTACAATAAATAAAAATATATACATCAAATTGTCTTCCACATCCTCTTTTATACAACTTGAAAATCAAATTAGATCCGACTATTATTATTATTTTTTTCAATTATTTCCTCACAAAACTCAATCATCTTCCTCTAATCTAACACAAAAAATAATATTAACAATTATTTCTTACAAACTACAAAACCTCCTCAGATCCCGATCTTTTACTTATCTCCAAAGTCATCGAAGTCGATGATTCTTTGGTTACTTGGTAAGTTGATTTTGGAGAAATTGTTGACGATTCGTAATTACTGAAATATTGTGAATTAGCTAACCTGTTGAAAGCTATTTTACTGTGTTCGAATGTGGCAATCATTATCGCGCAAGCCGGGGCGACTTTAATCAATCTTGGAGCTAACCCTGTTACAAGACCTCTATAGCCATACTCTCGATATAAATGAGTAATTATTTGCCAAGTTGATTTCGGTTTTAATGAGTCACCTAAAATTAAAAAAAAAGGATTAAAAACTTTAAATTTTCCGATTTATTTGGAATACCATTAATAACTCGTTCACCTAATTCAATTTGCTGATGAGTTTTCACAACATCAAAAGGGACTGTTAAAGTTGCAGCTATCTATAAATCATTAAATTTACTAAAAAATTTACAAAACTATTATCGGATTCAACAGTTTTTGCCCCTCACTTTGAACGCGAATAACAAAAAAACTACTGACAATGAGGTAATTGTCTCATCTGTGGTAATTTCAAATTTTTTATTATGGAAATTATATTGATAAGACAGTGGATATATAAGTTTTATCTACGACTGCTTGGATATGTCATCATTACCACACTCATTTAAGTTACGTAATGAAGTTCATTACCGCACTGGTTTCATTACGTAACGCATTTTTAGCCCAATCAGAACAGACTTAATTTATTGAAACAAGCAACAATACAAAAGAAAAAGTGCTACCTATTTAAAGAGAAGCTACTATTTATTATAAACATTACTTGTTATGTTTTTACATTTCGGAACACTTATTCCAGATGAGTAAACATGTTATTGAAAATGACATTAATTCAAAATTGTCAACAATCATTTCAAAATATTTTTATGAATGTCGAAATAGACCTTTTTCAAGAAATTGATTTTTAAGTAATTTTTAGCAGTCGTAGATAAAATGTTGTATATCACACGTGGGCTAGAGCATAATTACAGTACTCGTGTGATTACACGACTCGGTCTACGACCTCCTCGTGCAATTCTCCACACTCGTACAGTAATTATGTTTCTAGCCCACTTGTAATATAAATAACTATTAATTGCATTCATAATTTTGCAAACGTAATACAAGTAATCCTACCGACATGCCTAAGCATTGTACGAAAGAAGTCAAGAAGTAATTACTAATATACAATTTAAACAATTTTTAAGCAATACATACTTTTTACATAACCTCGTACAGTTACATTTGTTTGTGTAGGTTCTGGATGAATTCCAATACGTATATTTTGTGCCGGTTTTACAATACTACTTAATAATCTACTACCAAAACCAAATAATTCGTTAAAGCGAGGTTCTCCCGCTGTACTATTGCTACGGCCAGCATACGAAGTATCTTCTACACTGCAAGTGTTGGTGTTATCATCGACGACACTGCCACCATAGATTCTTCTGAAGAATCTTCATTTGACGAAAAATTGTCATCAGAATTTTCATTATCATCAATATTAATAATGATAGGTTCAATTACCTCACCTACAATGTGTGCTTTTTCTCTGTCTAAATGCATAAATTTAAAAAAACCTTTAATTTTAAATGTGTTATTTTTCTTTGTTGGATATAAAATAATGGACAACTAATAAATCATTTATAAGTCCGAGCCTGAATGCACTTCGTAATTCGAGCAAGTTATCATTGTTTTTGAGTGTTTTTTTACATATGAATTGCCTACATTTACAGCATTTTTGTGTACTATTTGTATTTGTATACAATTTACACCTCCCTTTTCTAGATTGAGTTGGCTGTGTTTCGGACATCCCGCAATCAGCGCCCATATAGGACAGTTGCAAAAACGATCGATATTCTTTGGCAGCGTAATTATTTGAGCTCTCATAATAAGTTGCTCTTTCATTAAAGCAATCGCTAAATTACTTAAGAAAATTCTTCATCTCCCGCAGAATGCTTTGTGAAATGCAATATTTGCGAGTTTATTCGATAGGCAGCGCACATCTTATCAACTGTATCTACTGCTCCTTTTGTTTGATTATAACTTAAAATTATTTCGGGTTTAAGTGATTCTTCGTCAACTTCCGGTAAGTCGTGCATCATTGATAATATTATAACGACTTTGTTTTTTCTTGGGACATAAGACACTAATACAGTATCTTATTGAAAGCCAAATAAAGACGATTGAGACTGACGATTTTTATTTGCCAAAAATTCCGTAGGAATTTCACGTTTGTTTTTAATTCCATTTGGTTGTCGCCCACAATAAATTTCAAGGTTGCTGGTATCAAAAGATTTTGCATCGCACATGGCAAAAATTTTTATACCGTATTTAGCAGGTTTGCTTGGTATATATTGCACAAAACTACATCTACCTCTAAACGAGTGCAACATTTCGTCAATGGTTACATATTTGCTGACGTTATAGCTCTTTTTACAATTATTGGAAAAGGAATCAAGGATTGATTTGATTGCAGCCAACTTATCCGTTTTCTTCCTTTCATTCCTTGTTGATTTATCATCAAACCGAAGTCTTGTCAACAGAAATAAATGTCCGTGCCATCACTATTCCACAGATCCATGACGTTTACACGCGATCCTTTCTTCGTAATAATCAAGAAAAAAATTTAGAATAAAGGTAATATTTCGCAAACTGTTGTATTTTGATAGTCTCGTTCCTTGGATGGATCGTTCGAATCTCTTTGTTTATAACACTGTTTTTAACAACGAGATCTATTACTTTTTCTATGTGATAAGCTATTAGTGTAATTACACCATAAAGAGCAGTAAATCCACGCTTTTTCCAAGAATCATCACCGCTAACGGTTAAAACAGATCTCTTATTTTCTTCATTTAATTTTATTTTATTTTGTACAGCGCTTATGCAACAAAAATCAAAAACCTTTTTGGTAGACTCATATATATGCTGCACTATGCCTTCGTATGATTTTTTGCTCCCAAATCTATTATGCCATAAAACATGTTTATTACTTCTCGAGCTACTCCTAGTATCATAGCGAAAATAACAATTCGATTTATCTCAAAACTACTGTAAATAAATAGTGCCGCACATGCATCTTACAGATATTTTAAATCCAAGTCCTCTCTCTCCTGATTGTCCGAATGATAATTTTTGCTTACATCTTCTACAAACAGCTATGTCAGAAATAACAGAAAACACGGTCCCAATTCTATAATCCGGCAGTTTCTCTTCTTCTTCTCCTGGTCCTTATGCCTGATTTCATTTCCATTGCTGTGATCTTTCCTTCTTGTTTATCTTGGAGTGTCCATGATTCACTGGCATATGTTAATATTGGGACTGCCACCGCGTTATACACTTTCAATTTTATCTTTTTATCTCCTTCTTCCCAAAAATTGTTCTATTTAAAGTATGATATACGTTGTTTGTTTTTCTTATTCTTGCATTTATGTCTAAATCTATCCTTCCATTTTGTGATATTATACTGACCAAGTACTCATATGATGATAGTTCTTCTATCTTTTGTTCCTTAATAAATATTTTTTTCGGGTTATTTCTTATTCCCTTTTTATTTATTATCACGATTTTACATTTATTTACGTTCAATTTTAGGCCCATCTTTTCAATTTCTTCTGTCCATATTTCAACTAATTTTTTTGCCTTTTTATGATTCTCTACTATTAGTATGTCGTCAGCATATAGTAAATTATTTATTTTTACTGGTTCCAAACGTTCATAACCTATTGCTGTATGATATTTATTTGTTCTTGTTCTTGTATTTTTTATCACTATATTATAAATCACAAGGGGCTTAGGCTATCGCCTTGTTTTATTCCCTTGTTAATTTCAAAAGTTTTTGATGTTTCCCCCTTCATTTGTACTATGCCCTTGACTTTCTTGTACAAGTTTTCAATTATTTTTGTTACTTTTTGTGGTACCATTAGTTGTTCTAGACATTTCCATATAATACTATGGTTAACCGTGTCAAAAGCTGCTTTTAGGTCTAAGAATATTAGGTATAGCTTATTGCCAGTCTCTATTTTCCTTTCAAGGAAAAGTTCGTTTGTTTGCTTGCTCTGTATGCTGATTGTTCATCTTCTAGTTTATTTTCCACTACTCTTCTTAACCTTTTTTCTATTATCTTTGTGTATAATTTGTAATTTCTACATGATAGGCATATGGCTCTGTAATTTTCACAGTTCGAGTAGCTTCCTTTTTTATGTATTGGTAAGATGATATTATCTTACCATGCGGTTTTATATATACTTAGAAGCCACTCCTTCCCTTTTATTCCCAAATATTTTATCATCTCCGGGTCGATCTTGTCTTTGCCGCAAGCTTTGTCTGTTTTCATCTTCATCATTGCCTCTCCTAATTTTTCTATTGTTCTCTCTTTAGTTGCTATGTCTGTAGTGTCTTCTCTTATCTCATCTTTTCTTCCCCCCTCGATTGTTTGTGTCTGTTTTCCATCCTTAAACTTTTTTGCATAAAAATCCGCCCCTATGTCCAGAGTTTCCCTTGTAGTTGTCTTTATCTCGTTGTTCTTATCTTTGACGGCTTTTATTTGTTTTCTTTGATCTCCCTTCAATTTTCTTATTATTCTTAGAACATAGATATTACCATATGCTTAGCTACATCTCTCTTCGTTCTATAGTTTGCTCTATCCTCTTCCGAATTCGTTCTTATGTATCTTCTATGACTCTTCATTCCACCAGTGTGTTCTCTTTGTCTAATAATTATATTTTCTCATTCGTCACACCTCCAGGCTCCTAGCTTTATTTCGCATTATCTAAAAAACTGTCCACATTTCTTCTACTGTTAAATTCTCTGTTTATTCTAGTTTTTTAAATCGTCGTTTTTTTTTTTTTTTTGGTATTTTAGTCTTTCTTTCTCCTGCCTTAGTTTATGGATGTTTATTTTCGTGTTTTCATCCCTTCTCTTTCGATTTCTATATTATTAATAGTTGCCATGACTAGTCTGTAGTTGGTTCTCATTTCTGCTTCTGCTTCCGTCTTTACCTCCTCGAATCTGTTTTGGAGATTCCAGGTGTATATGATGTAATCAATAATACGTGGCGTACTGAAGTCTGAAGGGATTCCGGTAGTTCCGTCTCAGAATGTAACAGACGCTCAAGACGCATTCCGCGCCCTGGAATATTTTTCGTATAATTATTTTGTATCTGTTTCTAATATTTATTTATTTCATTTTACCTTCACGCGTATTTTTTTCAATATCTTACAATATATTACATGGTATATGCGTGAATGGTAAAGGCAAAATGAAATAAACAAATACTACAGAAAAATACAAAATAATTATAAATACATAATATACAATTATTCTATAACGCGTCTTGAGTGGTCTACCGGAATCCCTTCAGACTAGACTTCAGTACGCCACGTCGAAGCCAGTCTGGAACACACACACCAGCACCATCTTTTCCAACTGAACGGAACCCCTCTCTCCCCGCATGGCTTATTTCCGTTTCTTTTTAATTTATAGCTCGCGTAAATTGTTCTAAAAAAATTAAAGAGACAAAACTTTGAAAAACCCATAACAGGATTCGACAAACACAATTATTTACCACATTTTGGTTAAAACCGCGTTAAAATCCAACCAGCCGTTTTCGACTATACCGCATCTTACTAAACCGCGATTTTCCGCGAAACTATATGGAATATCGAAAAAATTAAATATGCACATCATTAAGAACACATCAGGGTACAACTTGTTCAAATTTGATTTTTTTTTGTCGGATAGTTTTTGACAAAAAAAATCGCAAAGTGGACAAAGTTGCCAGCACCGTCAAAAATAGGCTACTTTTTTCATTTAACTCGCGATTTTAGGAAAACCGCGGACTCGGAAATTTTCAAATTCACATATGTTACGTAGAAATGTTCAGTGAATAGAACAAAGCTAACCGCGATTTTTTTCATCGGACGGTTCTCGATATATCGATCTTTAAACTGACGAGAATTGACTTTTCAAGTTATACCGAGATTTATTTAACTGGAGTTTATCTAGCGACTGAAGAACCGGCCCTTAGTGTTCCTTTCTTCCGCCACAAACGTATATTTATAATCCGGTAGCAAAAACTATAATTAAGAACGACGTCACACACCGACACTTTCAATTTTTTTGCTGAAGCACTTGCTCCGGAACTATTCGGTACCTCGTCCTTTTCAGGGTTTTGTACGTTATATTGATTGCCACCGTATCGCCGACGACATGGACGGCTTGAACGATAATTGGGTTCACTTTCACTCACTTTTCACAACAACGATGTAAATCGACTTCACTGTATCAAAATCACCATTGCTTCTCAATTGAAAGGTAAAGCGCGCATAGCTCTCGTATACATACGTATGGAGCGCGTTACTGAGCAACTTTTTTCGACATCAAACAAGTTTTATTACCTTAAATAAACGAATATTATGATATACAGATACGTTTAAAGATGCCTCTCTGCCACATAAAACTAAAGAGGCCCTTTGGAAACTTTGTCCGCTCCTCACACCCGCTCCATTATAAAATCGTATTGAGTACTTCATGTACAATGAGGGTTAGGGTTCTATTCAATTTCATAAGGCAATTAGAGTGATGTTAGCCTCAATCTCATGCAATAACGCGATATCACTATTTCACATAGTGTAGTTTTTTTTTTAATGGGTTAGAAAAATAAAAAAATAAAAATACTGGCATGTTTAGTACACTTTAGGCAATATGTGGTCGAAATTTAGAGCTTCTTCGCCGATTGTACGAAATCGCGTACATTTTGTCATTCTACCTGTGACTATTACTATATGAGTGGTAGAAAAAATTTGAAATTATCACACATTATAAAGAATTAAATTTCGCGTCCAACGAAGGTGGTCTCGATTTTTTCTACCAAGTAGTTTTTTTGTTATTCGCGTTCAAAGCGAGGGGGAAAAAACTTTTGAATTCGATAATAATTAGAAAATTTACAGAACCAGAAATTGCACCGGCCATAAAGCTATAACCAAATGAAGGAACACCAGGTCCAAAGGACTTTATCGCTTCATAACTCGTCCAATACATAGCCGAAAACGGCACATCCCTTAATAAAGTAGCAAAGACACCTTTCCAAAGCCCCCAAATTCCGTCTTGTTTTATTAAAACTTTGAGAGCCTCGCCAATTTCAAAATAAGAGAGTCTAGTTGATTGCATTTTTGTTCGAATTAATTCCAATGGGCTAACTAACGATGCTGAAATGATACGGGCGGTTCCCCCTGCCACTAAAGGAATCCACATTGGTTGTTCTTTCGATAAGTTTTGATTTCGATTCAAATTGTGACGATCTTTCAAATTTAACCTTAACTGTTCGTAAGTTACAAAATAAATTACAGTCGCGGGAATTGCCAATACTAAAGTCGGACTTAAACCGCTCCACAACGATGAAAGGCCTTCCGATTTTGTAATTTTAACAAAAGCATCCTAAAAATTTGCAAAAAATTCTTAATATAATAAATTTTTTAATAATTTTTTATGTAACCATCGTTCCATTAAACTGCCCCGGTCTATTAAACCATAAATTCTTTTGAGGTTCGCACCCACAAATGTGATCCATTAACCCGTTACAATATAAAAAACATCTTGACATCGCCTTTTTTTGCGCTTGCATGCGTATTTTTACGACGTCCAATGGGGTAACTACGAATTAAAGAAAAATTTAATATCGTTTTTAGTATATTTTAAAAAATTAAATACCAAAAAATGAGGTTATGACGGCGCCGGTGCAGGATGCGGCCACCTGCTGGGCGGGCGTTGTTCGAAATCGAGGATCATCGATGTCCCGTGTTTTCTCCACGTTATCATTCATCTTAAACTTAGTTCGGTCGGTTAAAAGCTTATTTTGTGTCGGTTAAAGGTCCCGAAATGTAGCATGTTTCTTCAGAAACGTCAAAACAACACGCGATGGTGACATTGCGCGTGCGCTCATTGTTCCGCCGTAATTTAGCAAGAAAATAAATTTACGATTACATCGCACAATTTTAAAGATAAAAATTAAACGGGAACTGATTTATATGAAATTTTGTTGTTTTTTTTTGGATTTTGTAAGAGTTGTGGTTAGAGTTTTGATGACATTTGGACTGTCAAAATTTTGTTTTTCTTTTTCGTTGATAGATGGCGGCGTATGAAAGATTTAATTCAAAATTTTTTATAGTTTTAAAAATTATTTTTTGTTTAATTCCTTTAAAGATAATAATAATTTGATAATAACTTTGATATTTCCCACATGTAGGTTTTTTATTTGTATTCATCTTTTAATTTCTGTTTTAAAATTTCTTATTTTACACTAGCAGCTAGTGCTAGATTGTACATTTTTAAACTAAAAGTGGAACTAATACAAAAAAAATCAAATATAACGTGTTAAGAATTAAAATAAAAACAACTATAATTAATACAATCTTTTCAAATTATCAATTTTTAATTTCCCTGTGAACAGTACAGAAATGGAATTCATTATTATCTTTCTAATTACTGTTTATATAAAAAAATGTTCAAATAAAACGTGTTCAGAATTAAAATAGGAACAACTTTTATTAACACAATTTTTGGAAATTATTAATTTTTCTTTTCCTTGTCAACAGCACAAAAATGGAATGCGGTGTTATCTTTCTAATTACTGCTTATATAAAAAAAATGTCAAATAATACATGTTCAGAATTAGAATAGGAACAACTTTTTTTAATACAATTTTTGGAAATTATCATGTTTTAATTTCCCTGTGAATAGTACAGAAATGGAATTCAATGTTATCTTTCTAATTATTGTTTGTATAAAAAAAATTTTCAAATAAAACGTGTCAAGAATTAAAGTAGGAACAACTTTTATTAATAAAATTTTTTGAAATTATCAATTTTTAATTTCCCTGTGAACAGTACAGAAATGGAATTCAATGTTATCTTTCTAATTATTGTTTGTATAAAAAAAATGTTCAAATAAAACGTGTCAAGAATTAAAATAGGAACAACTTTTATTAATACATTTTTTTGAAATTATCAATTTTTAATTTCCCTGTGAACAGTGCAGAAATGGAATTCAGTGTTATTTTTCTAATTATTGTTTGTATAAAATTTCTTTTCAAATAAAACATGTTAAGAATTAAAATAGGAACAACTTTTATTAATACAATTTTTTGAAANTCTAAAACCGACAAAATTTTTTTGACTACGTCATCAAATTTTCTGTAAAAAAGTGTCCATATAATGTCTTAGTTATAATACTCCACCTATAATAATAACCAAGATAATTACATTTGCGGGTTTTACGATATTTTCAATTTTGGTCTCTAGCGGAAAAACAAAAGACGATAGCCCTATGAGGTTTTCGGCATTAACAGTTTCTCGAAAAACGAGATCATGACATGTCAGCTACTTTTCTTCTAACTCTTATAGTTTTCGAGTTAGCCTATTCGGACATCGAATTTGAACCACCCTGTACATTTTTAATGAACTAAAAGTAGAACTAATACAAAAAAAAATCAAATAATACGTGTTAAGAATTAAAATAGGAACAACTTTTATTAATACAATTTTTTGAAATTATCACTTTTTAATTTCCCTGTGAACAGTACAGAAATGGAATTTAATGTTATCTTTCTAATTATTGTTTGTATAAAAAAAATGTTCAAATAAAACGTGTTAAGAATTAAAATAGGAACAACTTTTATTAATACAATTTTTTGAAATTATCAATTTTTAATTTCCCTGTGAATAGTACAGAAATGGAATTCAGTGTTATTTTTCTAATTATTGTTTGTATAAAATTTTTTTTCAAATAAAACATGTTAAGAATTTAAATAGGAACAACTTTTATTAATACAATTTTTTGAAATTATCAATTTTTAATTTCCCTATGAATAGTACAGAAATGGAATTCAATGTTTTCTTTCTAATTATTGTTTGTATAAAAAAAATTCAAGTAATACGTGTTAAGAATTAAAATAGGAACAACTTTTATGAATAAATTTTTTTGAAATTATCAATTTTTAATTTCCCTGTGAATAGTACAGAAATGGAATTCAATGTTATCTTTCTAATTATTGTTTGTGTAAAACAAAATTTCAAATAAAACGTGTTAAGAATTAAAATAGGAACAAGTTTTATTAACACAATTTTTTGAAATTATCAATTTTAAATTTCTCTCTGAACAGTACAGAGTGGTTCAAAAATTTGACATTCAATTTGATGTCCAAATAGGCTAACTCGGAAACCATAAGAGTTAGAATAAAAGTAGCTTAAATGTCATGATCTCGATTTTCGAGAAACTGCTAATGCCGAAAACCACAAACCGCTATCGTCTTTTGTTTTTCCCCTAGAGGCCAAAATTGAAAATATCGTAAAACCAACAAGTGCAATTATCTTGGTTATTATTATAGGTGGAGTATTATAACTAAAACATTATATGGACACTTTTTTACAGAGAATTTCATGACGTGAAATTTAGGATTTCATGAAAAAAATTTTTTGGTTTTAGATTTTGAGATATCAAGACAATTTTCGTTTTTTTTAAATGGAAACAACTACTGATTATTTGCTTATTAAATTCCTTATTTTTTTCTGATTACAAAACCATAGGGTTTAACAGGTCTATATCTTATTGTATTAGAATATAGCTAAAAATTAACTTTTTTTTAGTGTCGTCAAAGAAATTAAATTTACAGTTTCCTGTAAATTATAACTAAAAATTAAAAAAAAACTGATTTCTGATATTTGAAACAAATACATTTGTTGAACTATTTAATTTATATTTGTTTTACACAAAAGTTGTTATTATTTCACATTTGTTATTAATATTTAATGTTATTATTAAATATATATAATAAAATATTAATATATATTATTAAATGACTTAATAAATTATTGATAGATGGCGCACATATATCTTTGTTTTAAGGTTTGACAACTTGTCACTGCATCTCACCACTTATTTACAAAAATATTGCCGTCTTGTTGCCTTTGGTGTTGCAAAAATAGCAGTAAGAAGGTCTTTCGACTCTTAAGAGTACCACGAGAAAGAAGAATGGAGTTTTGGCGTAATGTTATCAACATAACTACAGAGTTTTAAATTTCCCGCTTGACTTTCGAGCCAAAATGGCGGCAACCCGCGGTACTTTGTAAATCTAGGGACTTTATTTTTTTTTAATTCAAATAAACATAGTATTATAGTGAGTTTAGACATGCATGGTTTTAGTGGCGCCAATAAAAACTGGCGCGCCATTAAAATTAAATTGCATGTGTAAACATCAACTGTCATGCAAGTTGAAATCATGCATGCATGGATCGGAAAAGTCTGCACCCTTCTGAAATCACTGGCGCCAGTGATGAATTTAAAAACATGTAACCATGACAACATAGATGAGTACCTACAAAAACACATAATTTTTTAATGTCAAATTTAGGTTATGTTTCATTGCATTCAAATTAAATCCCAATTACGTTAACACATTCAACGATAACGTTTAATTATCTACATTAAACCTAGAATATATCTATTTTCGTTTCGGTTGAGGTCCTAATTTGTGTATATAGTTGTAGTTTATATAGTTTATTATGGCTAGAAAAGTGGTCGGCAGAACTGGCGTGTTATTTATTTTTATTTCGCATATGTAGTGTAAACCTTTACTGGCGTGCAAATTGAACTGGCGCCACTAAATCCATACATGTCTAAACCCACCTTAAGTTGCAAGTTTTATTTTATTTTAATTGTTTCTATGGTTACATATTGTAAATTGAACTTGAAAAATTTTTAATTTAGGAAAAGTATAATTTTTTGCACAAAAATGGGAATAATTAGTTAATTTCTATAGTTAGAATTTCCACTATTTTTAAGCCAGTATTTAGGTGCTTTGGAGCCAATCGCCAAATAGTGGAGTTGAAACTTTCATTGGCATTTTAAGTGTGGCCCCCCAAACATCTTATTAATAAATTTTCTCGGGATAAATCTTCATAAATTGAATATATGATATGTGTTTCTGAACATCTGGATGCAATGGCGTTGGATGCTTCATCAAGGAATCCGACCCATTTGATTACCTTTTTGCCACTCGCACCAGCTCTCGGATCCTGACGGACAATATTGGTGATTTGGATGTTCAACTGTAGACCATATGTGGTAATAAGTACCCATTATCGCTTTTTTCATGTCCTCTGCACTGTTGATATTTCTACGGATAGCAAGACCGTAGTATGTCGTAAATTTTTTGATTAGAGCATCTGTCAATTTTCCTTTTCCGCCAAGTTTGTATGTATATTTATGTTTCGTAGTCGAGAGTTCGTCCTCTTTTCAACATGTCCAATACATTCATTTTTAATTACTGGAAAATCGTCGCCATATGGATTTTGTTCTAAAATTGATTTGAACGTTTTGGAATCTCCGTCCCCTATACAGTCGCCGTACTTTACACCAAACTTTTTTCGGATCTCAAAAACATCTCTACAATTGCATCGACTTCCATTTTACCGGCAGACCCTTCGTGAGTGACCAATAAATATATTTATATTTATACATAAATATATATCTTCTCTATTTTCTTTATTTTTATAAAATGTACAGGCTTGACAGTAACTGCTTTTTACAGCTACATCGATAACTTTACCGGAATAGTACCCAATAAGCGATGTTACGCCGTATAATGATTTGAATCTGCGCTTTTCCAAGAACTATCACCAGACACTTTTAAATTCAAGATTGGCCTTTCTTGCCCTTCGTTTTCTTTCTTTTCTTCTTTAACAACTGTTCCGCTGAAATACACGAACACCAATTTGGTGGCTGAATGCTGATGTTTAACAATAAAATAAAAATTGCAAAATAAATTTATTCTTTAAATAATTTGAAATTAAAACTTCATAGAATCAAGAGGTTAAACAAGATGTTGCTATAAAAATAATCGATTTTTTTGATAACGTAAATCACGCGTGAGTCACGTGGTTCATATGTATGATATTTACGAAGAACGCGCACCGGGAAAATACGCTGTTTTAACGGAAGTACTTAGAACTTCGCTTTAAAATTTTGTTATCACATTCTTAAGATATTCAGGCAACTTTTTATGGAAAAAAAAAATGTTTGAGTTTTTTGACGGTTCTAAATGAATTTCCCCCCTTAAGACTGTTTTTCAGATTCACGAAAAAACGAAAAATAAAAAAAATATAGGCGAAAAAGTAATTTTTTTGTTTTTTGGCCATATTTTAAAAACTAAGGTTAAGTTGTGGTTCTGTTACGTTTGTTTTGGGGAACTACACCATTATATTAGTATTGATACTGGGTATAATTTTTTTTAATATTTTTTTTTATTATTCAGCAAATCTAAGTGTTCATATAAAAAAAATATTTTACAAGTATGATTATTTGCAACGCAATATAAGTAGCTCAAAATGTTATCATTAGAAAATACAAACAAAAAATAAAAAAAAAAGTTTTAAAGCTGGGATTTTCACAGAAGTGCATATTTTTTCTTATCCTTTTTTTCTACACCGATATAAATTATTAAATAGAAAAAATAACATTTTTTTAATATTACAGTTTAATCAGGGGGAAAGAAAATTGATTCAATTTGTGCAGCAACCACGTTTTCACTTTTACTTATTATTAGTTTTATAGAAGCAGCACATTTTGAACATTTTCCTATCAATAAAAGAAAAAAATAGTCGAACTAAAAGGTTTTTCTGTGAATTGCTCTTTGACCTTGCTCGTCATATTCGCGTTTCGTTACCCACATCTTCTTAAAAGTATCTAAAGCTGCCAAAATTGATCCACCTATCCATGTGGAGTACAATCGTTCTTGTGGTGCTGAAATCTTTAAACAACAATTAAACATTTCTTTATAAGAATTTTTTTTATTAAAATTTCTTACCTTTATTTGTACATCTTTAGGAGCAAGCTTTTTAAATTCTGATAACAACCTTTCACCAAAACCCTTTTTTAAAAATAATTATAAATAATAAAATAAATTTATCTAAATAAAGTACTCACTTTAAATAAAGTAGATCCCCCAGATAAAACAATATTCCTAAATAATACTTTACGTAGATCCAAATCAGATTTTTGAATGGAATACATCAGCACTTCATGTAACCCTTCACTTTCTTCTCCAATTAAAAACGGTCTAAATAACACTTCAGGAGCTCTATATCTAGCGGGGCCTATTTTAATTGAACTACCATCTGGAAGAACATAATTTACATGCTCTGTTTCAACTGATTCTTCTTTAATTGGGTTGTTAGCCAAATAACAAATTTTTTCTTTTATTGTTCTTACAGTTTCAAATTCAGCTGTTGTCTTAAAATTAAGTCCTTCTTTACGAAGCAAAGTCCTTCAATTAAAATTATTAAATTAATTTAATATCACTAAAATAACTTATAACCTTACTTTAAGTATCTACTAACATCTCGACCAGCGACATCAATTCTCATAATACTATGTGGCATAGCAAAACCTTCATAAATAGGTACAGCATGTGTTACACCATCTCCAGAATCTAAAACTACACCTGTAGTTCGACCTGTTGAGTATCTAAACATGTTTATTATTAATTTATTTATTTTTAAAGGAAAAAAGTCTACATACAAACTTAAAACAGCTTGCATAGAAATAAAAAGAGCAGGCACGTTGAAAGATTCAAACAAAATCTCAGCTGATTTCTCTCGATTTGGTCTAGGGTTTAATGGAGCCTCTGTTAATAATACAGGGTGCTCCTCAGAAAATGTACTCAATTGCTCTTTGCTGTAAACATAACTCCAAATTTTTTCCATATCATTCCAATCGGTCACAATTCCATGTTCCATAGGGTATTTAATAGTGAGTAAACCACGGTGTTCTTCCGCTGTGGGGCCAATAAAAGTGTCCCCTTCTAAACCCCCCGCCATAACGCGAACATGTTTTGGAATTCCGATACTGAAAAATGAAAAAATACTATTAAATCTTATGAATGTACGAAAGTGATAAATTCGTACTAATTAGGAAATCTGCATTTTGGGATTTGATCACCGGCGAATCCAGCTTTAATCACTCCAGAACCCTACACAAACATAATTTTTTTTTTAATGTCTTACATACTAATTATATAACGCTTACGTTATCTATGACCACGGGTTGATTGAGAATCACGTCGTACGCTTCCATTTCAACCCCGTTTTATAGGATTACACACCTAAATGTATGACAAATTACTAAACTTAAGCACGGAATTGCAGGTTAACTTTTTTGACAGATAAACGTCACTTTTAGTTGGGAGTTTTCTTTAGAAATGGTTTATAACTATACTAAATAATAATTTTCTTTTCTTTAAATTAATATTGTAATTTATTTCGTCACTAGTTAATAAAAAGTAAAATTTTTTGATTTCTTTTAGAATAATTTCAATTAATTCTTGTAATAATAGATGGCGACACTGGAGATATAATTAGCGTGACGAAAGCAAAAAGTAAAATTATTGTCTCTGATTATTCTGTAGCAACCAGTAAATAATAAATCAAACTACATATAACAGTTATTGTGTGTTATTACTAAATAACTGAAGACGCCCTGAACCCAAAACTTTCTAGTTCTACGTTTAATGTCAGTCTAGTTTTGCACTATCACTTGAACTAACACTAGACCAGCTAGATCTAGAACTAGAAACATTCGGGTTTAGCCACACGTCTCTCAAGACGGCTAAACACAAATGTTTCTAGTTCTACGTCTAGTGTTAGTTCTAGTATTGTACAGGGTGTCCAAATTTCGATGGGTTTGCAGGGTATCTCAGTTATTATGAAAGATAGAAAGTTGCGGCTTTCGCGAACCTGAGCTACTTTTTTGTAAAACTTACAATGACGCAAACCAAATTTTCATAGCCCTCTTCGTTTTTGATATACAGAGAGTGTTTGAAATTTCACCTCCTGTATCTCGGCTATCCGGAAACTTAGTAAAAAAGTAAAAACGGTTTGTAATAGATTTTTTCACGTGGAATCCAATGGTGCACGTAGAATTTTTCTAGTCATCACGGTTTTTGAGTTATAAACACAACTCAAATACCGAATACTCAACTTCTAAAATACTTAACTCTTTATAACTCAAAAACCGTGATGACTAGAAAAATTCTACGTGCACCATCGGATTCTACGTGAAAAAATTTATTACAACCGGTTTTTACGTTTCCGGATAGCCGAGATATAGGAGGTGTCTGAAAATCGTAAATTTTGAAACACTCCCTGTATATTAAAAACAAAGAGGGCTATGAAAATTTTGTTTGCGCCATTGTAGGTTTCACAAAAAAGTAGCTCAGGTTCGCGAAAGCCGCAACTTTCTATCTTTCATAATAACTGAGATACCCTGCAAACCCATCAAAATTTGGACATCCTGTACACTGTCACTAGAACTAACACTTAACCTAGAAGTAGAATCATTCGGGTTTAGCCGCCTTGAGAGACGTACGGCTAAACCGGAATGTTTCTAGTTCTAGGTCTAGTGTTAGTTCTACTTTTAGTTCAATTAAAATATACAACAACCTAGCGACAAATAATTAAAACTACAACTAACACCTAGACCTAGAACTAGAAAGTTTCGGGATCACCCGTGCGTCTTCAGATTCACGCGTCTTTCACTTCCATTTTTGTGCTGTTCACAGGTAATTAAAAATTGATAATTTAAAAAAATAGTATTAATAAAAGTTGCTACTATTTTAACTTTTAACATATTTTATTTGAAAATTTTATTGATACAAACAATACTTGGAAAGATAACATTGAATTCCATTTCTGTACAGGTTGGTTCAAATTCGATGTCCGAATAGGCTATCTCGGAAACTATAAGAGTTAGAAAAAAAGTAGCTTACATGTCATGATCTCGTTTTTCGAGAAACTACTAATGCCAAAAACCTCAAAGCGCCGCACTATGGGGCAGGCAATCCTATTTCTAGGAAAAAAATTTTTTCTCTAAAAAAAGATTTCTTTAGTTACTTTTATAGAGAATCTGTGAACAACCCATACAATGTCCTTTTACAAATTCCTGAGGTTAAAATAGGTCGATTTAACAAAACATATCCCAGTAATTCGAAATCCAACCCATTGCTAGTTATAACTCTTAGAATATAATTATTTTCAAAGAGAGAATTGTAAGAGAAACGGCTTGAATTACGATGTTCAAAATTTGCGAATATATTTCTATTCCAAATAAATCTTACCTTTTTTTTAACTCTTATAAGGGTGTTTTTTACATAACTAGGCTTTTTTTCTCTTACAATTATCGTCTCTCAAGACGGCTNACTTGATAGACATTTCAGACATAACCTCAATATAAGAAAGCTGTCATTTCTGTTATATTTTATTTTTTGATTAGTAGGCCGTGTCAGAACTGTGGAATAATGGCTTCATTATTCAACACTTTGTCAGTCATGTGTAATGCGTATCATTACCCATCAAAAATCAATTGTATAACGAATAGATAATTCAATAGTTGTAGATAAAATATTTTAAATGCAAATTTATGTAATAACACACTATGTTATTCCTCCCAATTCGGCACACATTTGAAGACGACTTCTAAATTCTTTATAAGAAGTACGAATTTCCGCCAGTGGTAGAGATTCTATCGCTTTAATTATTCTTAGTTTTAATAGTTCTGCATCATCTTGTTATAAATAAAAATAAAAATCCATAACTGTAAGATCAGGACTACAAATAGTCCTGATATTCCATATTTTACAAATAGTCCATATTTTCAAAATACCTGACAGTTTTATCACATCATTCTTACGAAAAGTAGTTACATGTATTATTTAAATTAAACGTTGTGAAAACTCTGACAGAAGAAGAACTTTCGTTGGTTACTGTTGAAGACTGGTTGAAGTGTTGTCAAAATGTTAAAGTTGGAAATAATTATTTAGAAAATGAGGTTCGAATTGATGTGGCAACAGAAAGTTTAATTATTACAGCTTCTAATAGTGAAACTTCTAGTGAGGACGAGTTTAAAAATTTATCAGATTAGCAGCTGTGGGTCGGTTAATCCAATAAAAGTTTCTTTGTTCCATTTTTTTATCACCTGGTTTATTTAAAAAGAAAATTGACTTACATTACACTTAGAACTAGAATCATTCGGGTTTAGCCGCACGTCTCTCAAGACGGCTAAACCCGAATGATTCTAGTTCTAGGTCTTGTGTTAGTTCTAGTGCAAAACTGGAACTAACACCAGACCGAAAACTAGAAACATTCTGGTTTAGCCACACGTCTCTCAAGACGGCTAAACCCGAATTATTCTAGTCTAGGTCTTGTTTTAGTTCTATTTTTAATTCAATAAAAATATACAATAATCTAGCGCTGAATTATAATTAAAACTAGAACTAACACTAGACCTAGAACTAGAAACTTTCTATTTCTAGGTTTAGTGTTAGTTCTAGTTTTACACTAGCACTATCATTAGAACTAATTAGTTCTAATGCTAGTCTTACACAATAATAGTGAAATAAATCGCGATTTTGAATTTTTTTTTATATTTCAATAAATATTTAATGAAGAAATTAATTTGAGTTAATAAGCATTAAGAAAACACTTACTTCCAGCACTGTCATTAGAACTAACACTAAACTTAGAACTAGAAAGATTTGGACTTAGCCATCTTTAGAGACGTATGGCTAAACCCAAATGTTTCTAGTGTTAGTTCTAATGCTAGTGTTTTTGCTAATAATAATTTGCTAATTCAATTGACCCATGCGTGACGTCACGAACGTGCCGTCTAATTGTGTACTTGCGAATAACTTTTTCAGAATGAATCAAAAGATAAGAATTTGGGATAAATTTAAAAATGAAATTACATTAAAATCAAATATTTATTTTTATACACAAGTCTCGAATATAAATTACACTATATTAGGCATAAATTATTAATTTTATACTTTTTTTCATCATATTGAGATTTTATTTTTTATCTTAATTTATAATTTCTTAAGAAATAGTACATATTATATTAAATCTATACGTATTCAACATGTGGAAATGACAAAATTACAACAGATCGTTACGGTTACATTCATTTTATAATACAGCTCGACGAAATAAATACTTGCGGTAAAAAGTCAATTTAAAAAGAAAATCGATGGGGAAGGGGTAATAGACACATACAGGATGACAAAATCATTCTTTTTCATAGTATCTCTTTCCTATTATCTTTTTCTCTTTCAAATTCCATTTTGGTTATTTCACCCTGTATAAATCCATGATTAATTCATAATAAATCCATAATGGTGATGACTTATTACATCTTATTTACTTACGTATAAACATCATCATTCAGTTTAAGTGTTTTACACATTCATTATTTAGTTTTATAATACCCTACACACTACCAAAATATTTATTGGTTTCCTTTTTTATTTTGAGGGGGGCGGGGAAGTTTTTAGGGGTTTAAGTTGGTTTGGCCTTTATCGCCACTACTCACATTAAAATAAAATACTAAAAAGGTAGCTATTGAAGTCAGTTCTTGCCACGTGTCGCCTTCTTTATTTATTTACTTTTTTTTTCGAATTACTAGGTATCATTTATTTACACATATAAAAAAGTTTTATTTTTCTTTTTAAAGTTAACTAAAAGTTCGCATCGCTTTTTCTTTTCGTGGTTGTTTTCTTTTTAATTTAATATCACGTTATGCATTTTTACGAGTACAAATGATTAAATAAACATACATAATGGATAATTATATAATTAGAATTACTCATAAAATAATTATATATGCTTATTTTCTTATTTATACCCTGTTTATGTTGGGTAAATAGATACCGAGCCATTTTTTTTTCTTTCTTAATTCAAATAACGTTTTTATTTATAATACTGACAAAAAGCTTAACCAAATCTACCACCATTGCATCGCTCTCATATGATTTTCCACTTTTCTTTTCATCCACAATCCGAATACATAAAAGAACGTAGCCAATGTAATAAAGTACAAAAAAGCTTTTAAAGTACAATAACTCGTCTTTTTCTTTTCAATTTCTACCATATTTTCAATATCGTTTCGTAAATAATTTTTCTCGTTCTTCAAAAAATCATCCGTGGACGAAGATTGCGAAAGCATTTGAGGGTTAATTCCGTGGGCTGGGGTTGGGCGACGACTTGGTACGTAAAAAGTTAATCGATACGCGTTCGTATTGATACCACCACCATCTTCATCTCTACTTCCTTCCGTTCGTTCATTATCGAGTAACGGTGACGATTGGGGTGGTAACTTTTGTTGACCGTCTGTTAATGTGTTGTGAATAGTGGCGTCTGTCAGTCAGTAACATTTTTTGGTACAAGCGCATTTACGCACGACATCGATGTCTTTTGTGTAACGGGTTCCATCGTTACATATTAAACGAACCTAAATAAAAAAAGAAAATATACACTTATACCATGAATTTCACTTAAAATACAATATACAAAAATATATTTCCATAAAAATCATCATCTTAATTTGTCGCACATAAAATACAACATGTCTGAATGTTTCTGGTTGTAGGTGTAATGTTAGTTCTAGTGATAGTGATATGTAATGCTTGTTAATATAACGTATTCACTATGTTCTATACAGTTATCGGCTATTATAAGAGATAGAGCAACTGTTAAATAGGTAATGTTTCGCAGAATTCAATGCTCGCAACAAATCATAATCATCATAATGAAAAAACTGAAATTTGCTGATATTAATTTTTACTAATAAGTCGATAACGTAATGCAACTGAATCGGTCATTTTAAAAACCACATACAGGGTGCCCATTATGTATGGAATATTGTATATATCTTGGCAAGTATCAACTTTATAAAAAAACATTTTATACAAAAGTTGGTTAGTATTTTATTTGCCATAATAAGACACCATTCAATTGTTTTTATTTCAGAAAACAAATGAGCAACGAATAACATTTAATTTTTNGGCGACGACTTGGTACGTAAAAAGTTAATCGATACGCGTTCGTATTGATACCACCACCATCTTCATCTCTACTTCCTTCCGTTCGTTCATTATCGAGTAACGGTGACGATTGGGGTGGTAACTTTTGTTGACCGTCTGTTAATGTGTTGTGAATAGTGGCGTCTGTCAGTCAGTAACATTTTTTGGTACAAGCGCATTTACGCACGACATCGATGTCTTTTGTGTAACGGGTTCCATCGTTACATATTAAACGAACCTAAATAAAAAAAGAAAATATATACTTATACCATGAATTTCACTTAAAATGCAATATACAAAAATATATTTCCATAAAAATCAGGGCGTACCTACTCAATTTGTTTCACATAAAATGCAACATGTCTGAATGTTTCTGGTTGTAGGTCTAATGTTAGTTCTAGCGATAGTGGCATGTAGCGCTAGTTAACATAAGATATTCACTATGTTCTATATTTTTATTGAACTAACACTAGACCTAGAACTACAAAGTATCGGGTTTAGAAGCGCGTTTGGAGATGTGTCGCGAATGTCTAGTGTTAAGTTCTAGTATTGTACTAGCACTATCACTAGAACTAACACAAGATCTAGAACTAGAGTCATTCGGGTTTAGCCGTCTTGAGAGGCGTGCGGCTAAACCCGAATGATTCTAGTACTAGGACTTGTGTTAGTTCTAGAATTACACTTGCACTGTCACTAGAACCATCATTAGACTTAGAAATAGAAATATTTGGGTTAAGCAGTACATCTCTTAAGACGGCTAAACCCGAATGATTCTAGTTCTAGATCTAGTGTTAGTTCTAGTTTTACACTAGCACTGTTACTATACAGAACTAACACTATACCTAGAACTAGATCCATTTGGGTTTAGCTGCACGTCTCTAAAGATGGCAAAATCCGAATGATTCTAGTTCTAGATCTATATACAGGGTGGTTCATTTAACGTGAGACAAGCGATTATCTCGAAAACGACTCATTTCACATAAAAATGAACCAAATGAAAGTTGTTCTGTGCGAAGGGGGAAACCATACGACGATAACATTTTTTGACCTTGACCTTATTTTCAAGGTCATATGAAGGTTACGACCAATTTTTTAAATGGCACCTTATGTTTTTGATTGTAAAATCTGAATCTATGGATAAAAGTAAAATAATTAAAAAAAAAAGAATTACAGTATGGTTTTGCCAGTACGATGGCGAAACATCTTTTGTAGACAAAATCTAAATAATTTTTTTATTCAAATAGTTTTAAATATTGTTTATTTATAAAGAAATGATTAAACTATACTATTAATCAACAGCAAGTATAAAATTTATAATAAATGTTCAAATATTTCCCCAACCACTTTAATACATTTATTAACCTTTTTACTAAAACTTTTTTTACATCTTAAAAGGTTTTCTTGGCTACTATTTCTGCATGCATTTCTTATCCGCTCTTTCATATTTTAAATAAAGATAGATAATAAAGTAAGTATCATTAATTTTCATATTTTGTTGCTTTACATATTACATTAAATTTGTAACCGCTTGGTGTCAAAAGTTTTGTAAGTTTACATACGACTATAACTGTACTATCCGGTGCACTTCAAACTTTAATCTATAAGGAATTATACTTCTCACTTGAAACTTTGCCAGCTGCCGTTATTCTCTTTTTTCTTGAGATTTATTCTTTTATAACAACATTGGGGCAAGTGAGACACTACTGACTCGCTTACCCCCATCACCTAAATCAAGTCTGTTATTTTAGATTATTACTTTGGTACCGTTAATTCGTATACATAATTGCAAATAATATGGTTCACAATTAAGTACGAAAAACAAACAGAGGAACAACATATTCAAACGACGCCATGGATCGTGCACTAGAGATCGTTAAAAGTGGCGAAATGTCAATAACTAACCTTATTAATATTTCAAGATGATGGATATTCAAGTCATAAGTCATTAGAATGTATAACACTGGCTAAAGAGTGTGGGGTGTTATATCGACGTTACCACTCCATACATCAAATAGATTCCAGGCGCTTGACGTTAGAGTTTTTGTACTTACTAATTATCCTGGTTGTACTCACAAAAAAAGATTAAGAGTTGTTAAATCAGGTGATCTGGCAGGCCAGGAAATTAGACCTCCCCTTCCAATCCATGGCGCAGCATAATCCCGATCTAAAGCTTCACATGCAATATGTGAAAAATTCTAGACACCCATCATTTTGCAGTCACATATTTTGTGTTTCTTCTCTGCTCAAATCTACAAGTAACGTTGGTAAGACGTCATCCCTATTCAGCATACCATCAATAAAGTATGGACCGATCAATTTATTGTAGCGAACCGTAGGGTCAATTAAAGTTATTGTTCGATTTTGTTTTAATTTTCAATTTCGTAAAGGTTCTCTGTATGATTTCTTCGCTACTTTAGTTTAGTGCAATCATTTCTACTGTTCGAATTGTCGGCCAATGGAAACGATTGTTTAGATTAAGAGCATTCGGAAAGAAAGGGTTAAAAAATCTCAGACGGGAAAAAAAGCGACCAGTTCCACGGGGAGTTCCACTGGAAGACCAGTGGATTTCGAGGAGTTCCGTCGAGTCTAGTGCTAGTGGAGCTCATTCGGGGTAGAGTTCTAGTCCGATCGAGAATTCAGTGGAAATTAAGTCTGGGCTAGCTAAGAGAAGCTGGTCCGGTTCCAGTAAAGTTCGAGTTAAGTTCGGGTTGGGCTCGAGTTGGAGTTCCAGTTCCTTCAGTTAAGAATCGAGATTAAGATCGTTGATCCGTATCACAATGACAAATTAAATCTGTGTAAGTAATATTTTGTGGATCAATACTAACTGCTTTTGGTTCTGTTGATTAGTATGTCTTTCGTCTTTCGTATATTTGTTTGATAAATTTCATTCAATAATTTTTATTTGATAGATTTTATTCAATAGTTTTTGTTTAATACATTATCTTTAACAATATTTGCTTGATAGATTTTGTTCAATAGTTTTGGTTTGGTAAGTTTTGCTGATGTAATAAAAGCTATTTCCTCAATTTTTTCTAGAGCTGCCGGTGCTGATAATATCAGTATGAGTATGTTGAATATGTGTCTTCCATTTATATTACCCTACTTGACACATTTACTCAATGTTTGCATTGAAACTTCGGATGTGCCTGACTGTTGGAAGTTGTCAGTTGTGGTTCCTACCCCAAAAAAACGTGACCCATCTGAGCCTAAAGATCTGCGACCGATTAGCATATTGCCAATTTTATCTAAAGTTCTGGAAAGAATTATGTTTAATCAGTTGCATCAATTTGTTCAACTTAATAATATTTTACCGAAGCATCAATCTGGTTTTCGTAGAAACCATAGCTGCGGTACTGCTCTTCTCAAGGTAACTAATGATATTTTACAGGCTCGAGATAAAGGATTATGTACGTTGGTAGTCTTGTTGGATTTTAGTAGAGCTTTTGATAGTGTTTGTCATGACTTGCTTGTGGAATTGTTAAAGTATATTGGCTTCAGTGAATCCGCTTTAAACTTAATTGAAAATTATTTAAGTAATAGGCATCAGTCGGTTAGAATCGGTGATGCTTTGTCTGAATTTCGCTGTTTGAGCAAGTACCATAACATTACATTACATTACACCATTACATTTATTTAATAAACTTTATAGTAAAGATCAAAATTTGAATTTTCTTTTACCTTGACCAAATTTGCGTGACAAATTTCTATTTGTCGCATACGCATTGCACACACGCACGTTTATGTAAGAGCCGCTCCTTACATTATCACTAATTATGCCACACCAAACATTAACCGACTAAGATCGTTGATGTTATACTTCACGCCACCATCTCAGATTTTCAAGGCTCCAAAAGTGTATGTTATGTCTATTGACTTGTCCTTTGTTTGTAAAAGTAGACTCATCCGAGAATAGAACGTTACCAAAGAAATTGACGTCCAACCGTATTCGTTCTTGTGCCCATTGACAAAATATTAATCGATTTTCAAAATCACCTCCATAAAGCTGTTGATGCAATTAAATGTGGTATGGGTGATACTTGTTGCGCTTTAATATTCTTAAAATGCTGATCTTCGATATTCCGGCGTCAATTGCAAGTCGTCGAGTGCTAACTTGAGGATTTACCTCAACGATAGCTAATAGCCGAGTTCTTTCTTTTGATTCCACATTTCGAGTGTTAGTGAAATCATTCACAACTCTGTAAAAGGTACTTCTTGAAGGCGTATTTCGATCAGGAAAACGTTCTCGATACAAAGCTATACTATCAGCAACTTTTCTGCCACTTTTCCCATTAATAAAAATCATTTCGACTTTTTCTGCCACACTTAGAGTATCCATGATTTAATGACTTGGTTTAAACACTTTGCCTTAATGTAAAAGGATAGAATGAATTCAGAATTTGTTGCCAAGCAGCTTTTATGCAAATTTAGTTTTACCTGCTACCTTTTAAAACAATTCAACCAATTAAATCTCTGAAAGCGATATTCTGAAAATGCCGACATAAGCAGTTCCACGAACTCTTGGTTTTTATGCGATATTGTATTATCAAATTGACAAAGGCGGAGAAATGTCGGAACCTTTTAGACCTCTTTCCAAAGGTATTTCCGACTGGATTTTTTTGTTGAGCATTCTTAAATAGTATTCTAAGAATTAAGAGTTAAAGACAATGTATCGAAGCGGATAGGAAAATGTTTAAAAGTTCATAAATCTTATTTATTCTTGCTAGATTATGAATGTTAGTTAATTGTTTCTGAAGAAGTTTAAATTTTTTTCATAAGATGTTTTGCCGTTGTACTGGCAAAACCACACAGTAAAATTTTGTATTACTTTTTATATTACTTTACTTTTATCCACAGATTTTGATTTTACAATAAAATATATAGGGTGCCATTTAAAAAATTGGCCGTGACCTTCATATGACCTTGAAAATAAGGTCAACATGAAAACTTGTTATCGTCATATGGTTTCCCCCTTTGCACATAACAACTTTCATTTGGTTCATTTTTATGTAAAATGAACCATTTTCGAGATAATCTCTTGTCTCACGTTAAATGGACCACCCTGTATATATATGCGTCTAAAGACGCACGGCTAAACCCGAATGTTTCCAGTTCTAGATTTAGTGTTAGTTCTAGTTTTACATTAGCACTATCACTACAACTAACACAAGACCTAGAACTAGAATCATTCGGGTTTAGCCGTCTTGAGAAACGTGCGGCTAAATCCGAATGTTTCTAGTTCTTGGTCCAGTGTTAGTTCTAGTATTGTACTAGCATTATCACTAGAATTAACACAAGACCTAGAACTAGAATCATTCGGGTTTAGCCGTCTTGAGAGACGTGCGGCTAAATCCCAATGTTTCTAGTTCTTGGTCTTGTGTTAGTTCTAGTTTTACACTAGCACTATCACTAAAACTAACACAAGACCTAGAACTGGAATCATTCGAGTTTAGCCGTCTTAAGAGACGTGTGGCTAAACCCGAATGTTTCTAGTTCTTAGTTTTGTGTTAGTTCTAGTTTTACACTAGTAGTATCACTAATTGTAAAACTAACACAAGACCTAGAACTAGAATCATTCGGGTTTAGCCGTCATGAGAGACGTGTGGCTAAATCCGAATGTTTCTAGTTCTTAGTGTAGTGTTAGTTCTAGAATTGTACTAGCACTATCACTAGAACCAACACAAGACCTAGAACTAGAATCATTCGGGTTTAGCCGTCTTGAGAGACGTGTGGCTCTTAAGACGGCTAAACCTGAATGTTTTTACTTCAGAAGTAGGCTGAAGGCTTTTACAGTCGGTATTAATTGAACTAAAACTAGAACTAATACTAGATGACTAATTTTAGTTCAAGTATTTACCTTTCGTCTTTTGCTTTTTCTGGCATGACAACAACTGACCCCGCATCCACCGACGCATTTGGCCATTTTAAGAGGTTTCCTTGACCTACAACCATTTTCCGAGTAATACTCCCTTACTTGTTCTTTGCGACAAGTTGGAGCTGAAATAGAATAAACATTACGCAATTTAGTTTTTGAATAAATAAAACAACACCGAAACAAAAAAGTGCGGGATAAAGGCAAATAATATTCTTTTTAATACTGAATTAATTAATGGCGAAAAAAGCGATTTAAAAGCCTTAAAATAAACTTAAATCTAAATGGTTTTGATGCAAAATTTAATGAAGTATTCTATATTTTGCATCAAAATAAAAAAAAACTTTCATTCTAACATGCTTAAATCGAATCAAATAAAAAAAGGGATTCATAAAAAATGAAAATTGTTAGTACCCTTTCGATTCACTCTCATCTTTACTTACTCTCATCGTGCTCACCTTGCTCGCAGAACTTCCCCTTAAACCCTGGTTTACATTTGCAGGCGTACTCCCCCTCTCTCGACGTAGCTACACACTTACTCTCATGTTTACAGTGATTCCCTTCGCACGGGTCGATCTTTTGAGGTTCCTCCACCATTCCATCCATCTCATCATCCTGCTCTTCATCGTCCCTATCCTGTTCTAAAGACGCACACCCTGGCGAAACTTTTTGTTGCGTCGCTGCATTCCCAAAATCAACTTGTTTATGGTTTATCCATACTTCTTTCATACAACCCTTAAAACTGGTTAAGTTTCTTAAATGCCATAATGTAAACGCGGTTTGTCCCGGTTCCGGGGGGATTCCTCCGAGGTACATGGGGGTGGTTAATCTTAAATAATCTTTGGCGCCATCGTTTACTATTGAACGGGCTAAACCACGATCTACGCGAAGGGTGAAGTTTTTTTTAATCGCTAGCAGCTCAGCAATGTGGTATTGACCATCAGATACCATTTCAAAACTAATCACAAAATTATTAAATTAATAATAAATTTATTTCTTAATTTTTAATGATTACCTATACATCGTTGAAACGGGGTGATTCCCCACATCATAACTTATTCTTATTCTTCCGTTAAATAATTCTACAGCAAGATGTTCTTGGTGACCATCGTACATTAAAACACCGTTTTCTTCGGTTGTTGCAAATACTATGGTTACGTTAGCTTCCGGTTTGGTGACGAGAGGTTCAAGTTCGACGTAAGAAGTGTTATGGGTGAAACTTAAACTGGTTAAGTACTCGCAACGTTTCCCTAAAAATAATTTTGATATAAACTTTGATATAATGGAATACCTCCGCGCTAAAAAAGCGGCTAAACCGCACGTCTCCCAAGACGGCTAAGCCCGAAACTTTTTAGTTCTAAGTCAAGTGTTAGTTCTAGTTTCAGTTCAATAAAAATGTACAACAACTTAGCGCTCAATAACAATTAAAACTAGAACTAACACTAGACCTAGAACTAGAAACATTCGGGTTTAGCCACAAGTCCCTCAAGACGGCTAAACCAAAATGATTCTAGTTATAGGTCTAGTGTTAGTTCTCGTGACAGTGCTAATGATTCTGACTGTCACTAGAACTAACATTAGTTCTTGAACTAATATCATTCACTGTAAAACTCCATGTATTCTGATGAACAATGAATGATTTCTTATATAATCTGATCATCAACCTGTGATATGTGATCACTTTTAGCATATTATGGTGATCTTCCAACAATACTTTACAATTTTCAGTATATTTCTATTAAATTCAATGTCTTCTGATGATCTTTGAATTATATGTTACAATTTCTGATTATCAACCTGTAATATACAGTATGTCTCCGGATCGAGTTACAAAGAGGAAAAAAATTTTGATTACTGATTTTTCAAACTTATTTCAGCACAAATAATGCGTCGGATATGTTCAAACCACTAAATCGCACGAATTTTATACTTTAACTACAGAAGTTAACCAATTATTACCATTTTTATGTAAAAATTGGACTTTTTTCTAAATTGAAAAATTTTCTAGTTCAATTTATGATATGTAACCATAGAAACCATAAAGGTTACAACTTATGTTAGTGAAAAATATACGGACAAATCAAATTAAAATAAGGCTAAATAATTGAATAAAATATTTTAAATGTAAATGTATGTAATAACATAACACACTATGTTAGTTTGTAAGTGAACAAATCAACTATTCGGCACACATTTGAAGACAAGTTCTAAATTCTTTGCAAGAATTACGAACTTTCGCCAGTGGTAGAGATTCTGTCGCATTAATTATTCTTAGTTTTAATAGTTCAGCATCTCCTTGTAATGGTTCACAGTAAAAAAGTTATTTCAATCGCCCCCAAAAATAAAAATCCATAATTGTAAGATGAGGACTATGTGCTGGTCATAAAATGTGACTATTCGATCACAATGTGTGATGGTGAGCTAGACAACCGTTTCGCTGAAAGTACATTGACCGTATAAAATTTAAGACATTGACATAACCGCCAGTTATGTTCGCTATGCCACTGGTAACATATCCAAATATTTCTGTTGATTTACATTTTCGTCGAAGAAATATGGCCCAATTACCCCGCGATATGTTACAGCACACCACACATTTACTTTTTTGAAATGTTGACTTCGTCTAGAGAGTGTAGAATTTGGATTTACATCACTCTTCTATGGATACATATCATAAATTGAACTTTGAAAAATGTTTACATAAAAATGGGAATAATTAGTTAACTTATATAGTTAGAGTATAAAATTCGTGCGATTTAGTGGTTTGAACATATCCGACGAATTATTTATGCTGAGATAAGTTTGAAAATTCAGTAATAAAATTTTTTTTCCTCTTTGTAACTCGATCCGGGGACATACTGTGTAATCATTTTCAGCACATTATGATGATGTTGCAATGATATCTAAATATTTTCACAATATTCTTATGAAACTCAATGTATTCTGATGATCTATAAATGATTTTTTATATTCTGTAATCATCAACCTGTGATATATGATCATATTTAGCATATTATGGTGATCTTCCAATGATATTTTACGATTTTCAGTATATTTTTATAAAACTCTATATATACTGATATATTGATTATCAACCTGTAATATATGACCACTTTCAACATATTATGACAATGTTGTAATGATTTCTAAAGATGTCCACTAAATTCCTATGAAACTCAATGTATTCTGATGGACTATGAATGATTTCTTATAGTTTCTGATCAACAACCTAGATATATGATCACATTTAGCATAATATGATGATGTTCCAATGACATTTCATGATTTTTAGTATATTGCTATGATACTCAATATATTCCGATGATCTCTGAATGACTTCTTAGATTTTTTGATCACCTGTAATATATGATAACTTTTTGCATATTATGGTGATCTTCCAATGATATTTTACGATTTTCAGTATATTCCTATCAAACTTCATGTATTCTGATGATCTTTGGATTATATGTTACATTTTCTGATTATCAACCTGGAATATATGATCACTTTTAGGACATTAGGATGATGTTGCTATGATATCGAAATATTTTCACAATATTTCTATGAAATTCAATGTATTCTGATGACCTATAAATAATTTCTTATATTTTTTGATCATAAACCTGTGATATATGATCACATTTAGCATATTATGCTGATCTTCCAATATTTTACAATTTTCAGTATATTCTTATTAAACTTAATGTATTCTGATGATCTTTGGATCATCAGAACACAGACAGGGTGTATCAAATGTCTGGAATATAGCCAACAACTTCGCTATTTGTGGTTTTAAAGAAAAATGTTTCAAATACAAGTTTCTTTATTAATTATCGCGCACTTTTTGGCGATATTTGCTTGTATGTATTGTTTTTTGTTTCTTTGCTATGGCAAATAACATTCTTATTTTAAATGGGATGCATATGTTTTTTCGCATACTTTGATAGAGGATAAATCCCTCTATGCGATGAACATATCAAATCATATGGTTTTATAAAAAAAAACCGAGAAAAAATGCGTTTTCTGAAGATATTATCTGCAAATTACAATCAAAGTAGGCGCCGAAATAACGCCCTTGACAGCTTTAAATGTCAAAAAAATGACAGTTTCAACAATTATGAATAACAAATAATGTATGGGTACACACATTTGATGCAATTTCATCATTGGTTGAACTTTTGGCAGATTTTTAACACTTCCAGTATTAAGCAATTTTTTTAATATTTTGGATACTGTGGATTGTGTATCCGGGTAAATATTATTGAACAGTGTAAAAACTTCACTTTGAGTGCGTTTTCTATCACCGTACCCATACATCATTAATATTTGGATTCTTTGTTCGTTTAATTGCACCATATTTGTGTAAACTGTTAAATGTCATATTTTTGACATTTAAAGCTGTCAACGACGTTCTTCCGGCTCCCGCTTTTATTGTAATTTGCTATTTAATATTTTTAGAGAATGCGTTTTTTCTCGATTTTTTTCTTATACAACCATATGGTTTGATAAGTTCATCGCGTAGAGGGATTTATCCTCTATCAAAATATGCAAAAAAAACATATGCATCCCATTTAAAATAACAATATTGGTCGTCATAGCAACGAAACAAAAAACAATGTAAACAAGCAAATATCGCCGTAAAATGCGTCACAATTAATAACGAATTTTTTATTTGAAATATTTTTCTTTAAAACCACAAATGGCGAAGTTATTGGCTATATTCCAGACATTTGATACACCTGTATGTTACATTTTCTGATTATCAACCTGTAATATATGATCATTTTCAACACATTGTGATGATGTTGCAATATCTAAATATTTTCACAATATTCCTATGAAACTCAATGTATTCTGATGACCTATAAATGATTTCTTATATTTTTTGATCATCACCCTGTGATATATGATCACATTTAGCATGTTATGCTGATCTTCCAATGATATTTTACGATTTTCAGTATATTTTTATAAAACTCAATATATACTGATGATCTTTGGATGTAATTTTACAAATATTGATTATCAACCTGTAATATATGACCACTTTCAACATATTATGACCATGTTGCAATGATTTCTAAAGATTTCCACTAAATTCCGATGAAACTCAATGTATTCTGGTGGCCTATGAATGATTTCTTATAGTTTCTAATCATCAACCTATGATATATGATGACATTTAGCATCATTTGATGATGTTCCAATGACATTTCATGATTTTCAGTATATTGCTATGATACTCAATATATTTCGATGATCCCTGGATGACTTCTTATATTTTTTGATCATCAACCTGTAATATATGATAACTTTTAGCATATTATGCTGATCTTCCAATCATATTTTACGATTTTCAGTATATTCCTGTTAAACTCAATGTATTCTGATGATCTTTGGATTATATGTTACATTTTCCGATTATCAACCTGTAATATATGATCATTTTCAGCACATTATGATGATGTTGTAATGATATCTAAATATTTTCACAATATTCCTATGAAATTCAATGTATTCTGATGACCTATAAATGATTTCTTATATTCTTTAATCATCAACCTGTGATATATGATCACATTTAGCATATTATGGTGATCCTCCAATGATATTTTACGATTTTTTGTATGTTTTTATAAAACTCAATGTATACTGATGATCTTTAGATGTAATTTTACATATATTGATTATCAACCTGTAATATATGACCACTTTTAACATATTATGACGATGTTGCAATGATTTCTAAAGATTTCTACTAAATTTCTATGAAACTCAATGTATTCTGATGGCCTATGAATGATTTCTTATAGTTTCTGATCATCAACCTATGATATATGATCACATTTAGCATAATTTGATGATGTTCCAATGACAATTCATGATTTTCAGTATATTGCTATGATACTCAATATATTTCCATGATCTCTGAATGATTTCTTATATTTTTTGATCATCAACCTGTAATATATGATAACTTTTAGCATATATGTTGATCTTCCAATCATATTTTACGATTTTCAGTATATTCCTATTAAACTTAATGCATTCTGATGATCTTTGGATTATATGTTACATTTTCTGATTATCAACCTGGAATGATCACTTTAAAAATAATAATATGATGTAATATATGATCACTTTCAGCACATTATGATGATGTTGCAATTATATCTAAATATTTTCACAATATTCCCAACCCAATTATATTATATGACAACCAACACAATTATATTATATGAAAGTCAATGTATTTTGATGATCTATAAATAATTTCTTATATTTTTTGATCATCAATCTGTGATATATGATCACATTTTGCATATTATGGTGATCTTCCAATGATATTTTACGATTTTCAGTATATATTTACAAAACTCAATGTATACTGATGATCTTTGGATGTAATTTTATATATATTGATTATCAACCTGTAATATATGACCACTTTCAACATATTATGACGATGTTGCAATGATTTCTAAAGATTTCCACTAAATTCCTATGAAACTGAATGTATTCTGATGGCCTATGAATGATTTTTTATAGTTTCTGATCACCAGCTTATGATATATGATCACATTTAGCATAATACGATGATGTTCCAATAACATTTCATGATTTTCGGTATATTGCTATGATACTCAATATATTCCGATGATCTCTGGATGACTTCTTATATTTTTTGATCATCAACCTGTAATATATGATCACTTTTAGCATATTATGCTGATCTTCCAATGATGTTTTACGATTTTCAGTATATTCCTATTAAACTAAATGTATTCTGATGATCTTTGGATTATATGTTACATTTTCTGATTATCAACCTGGAATATATGATCATTTACAGCACATTATGATGATATTGCTATGATATCGAAATATTTTCACAATATTCATATGAAATTCAATGTATTCTGATGACCTATAAATAATTCCTTGTATTTTCTGATCATCAATCTATGATATATGATCACATTTAGCATAATATGATGATGTTCCAGGGAGATTTCATGATTTTCAGTATATTGCTATGATACTCAATATATTTTGATGATCTCTGGATGACTTCTTATATTTTTTGATCATCAACTTGTAATATATGATAACTTTTAGCATATTATGCTGATCCTTCAATGATATTTTACAATTTTCAGTATATTCCTATTAAACTTAATGTATTCTGATGATCTTTGGATCATATGTTACATTTTCTGATTATCAACCTAGAATATATGATCATTTTCAGCACATTATGATGATGTTGCTATGATATCGAAATATTTTCACAATATTTCTATGAAACTCAATGTATTTTGATGACCTATAAATAATTTCTTGTATTTTTTGATCATCACCTTGTGATATATGATCACATTTAGCATATTATCCTGATCTTCCAATGATATTTTACGATTTTCAGTATATTCCTATTAAACTTAACGTATTCTGATGATCATTGGATTATATGTTACATTTTCTGATTATCAACCTAGAATATATGATCATTTTCAGCACATTGTGATGATGTTGCAATATCTAAATATTTTCACAATATTCCTATGAAACTCAATGTATTTTGATGACCTATAAATGATTTCTTATATTTTTTTATCATCAACCTGTGATATATTATACTATGATATATACGATTTTCTAGTTTTTACGATAATTCTAGTTTTACACTAGCACTGTCACTACAACTAACACAAGACCTAGAGCTAGAATCATTCGTGTTTAGCCGTCTTGAGAGACGTGCGGCTAAATCCGAATGATTCTAGTTCGAGGTCTAGTGTTAGTTCTAGTTTTTCACTAGCACTGTCACTAGAACTAACACTAGACTTAGAACTAGAAACATTCGGGTTTAGCCACACGTCTCTAAAGACGGCTAAAGCCGAATGATTCTAGTTCTAGGTCTAGTGATAGTGCGAGTGGTGTAAGTCATAGGTAATATTAATATTATAACAAGTTTTTACTGTAATAATTACCTGAATATCCCGGAGCACACTTGCAAAGATAATCATTAGAATTATGAGCGGGTTGAAAACAAACTCCATGGACACAATCATGGTGTTGACATGGAGAAGTTTGCGGGTACATCATTGCGACACTCGGGGTAATTTCGCAGAATTTTCCGGTGTATTCACTTGGACATTTGCACTCATAACTATTTATTCCATCGATACAAGTAGCTCCATTCTAAATAATTTTTTTTTAATTATTAATTATTTAATTAAGATTTTTTTTAAATATTACCTGGCACATATGACTTTCGCAATCATCGATATTAATGGTACAATTTTCTCCTTTAAATCCAATTAAGCACTCGCAAGTGTAATAACTGTCATGATCGACACACGTAGCTTCGTTTTTGCACGGATTAAATAAGTCCGAACAGAATTGGATTTTAGTTTCACAAAAATCACCTTAAAAATAATATTATAAAAAGGAAATTAATTTTTGAATGTCTTTTTTACCCATATATCCCGGTGAACATTTACATTTATACCCGGAAACTTCATCGACACAACTAGCATTGTTCTGGCATTTATTCTCGACGCAATCGTCGATGTTCGTTTCGCATCTTAATCCGGTAAAACCGGAAGAACAATCGCAACTAAATCTTCCTTCTTCGAGGACTTTACAAATTCCGTTTCTGCACGGATTTCCGTAACAGGCATCAATCATTGATTCGCAATTTTTGCCGTGGTATCCGGGGGCACAACGGCATTCGTATTCTCGGTCTGGCAACGCGACGCATTTACCGTTGTTTTGACAAGGAAATGTGTAACAAGCGTCGCATTTTGCTAAGATTTCATCACTAACTTTAGCTAAGGAATAAGAAAAATTGTATCAAAAGAAACAAAATCATTTTTATTACAATTATTTTCGTACCTTTGCATTGAAAGTTAGCTGAAGGAGTTGATAAGATGGATTTATCTTTCATATTTGGTGGATCTGCACATCGTGCAATTCCCGGCTCAATATAATCAATCTTAACCCAATCCGATAACCAACGAAGGTTACAATCACAAAATAAGGGATTTGAACCGAATGCACTTAAAAAAAATATAAATTATATATTAAATTAAATACTAATTGTAGTAGGGATTAGTGTTGCTTAGAAAAACAGAACAAAAATGTCTTACATGTGAGTGATTGATGTTAAATTAGCAAACGTTCCTTCTGGTATCATCGAAATTTGATTTCCATGAAGTGATCTAAAAAAATAAATAAATTATAAGAAATGTTTAAAAACAAAAATATAACCTACATTATTCTTAACGATTTTAACCCATACAAAGCATTTCTTTGTATACACTGTAATTTATTATAGCCGATTATTAAAGTTGATAATTTCGATAAGTTTGAAAACGTAAAATTTGATAAAATTCCAATTTGGTTATTGCTTAAATCTCTGAAATGAGAAAATATTAAAATGTTTGTCGCAATAAGCAAAATATTCTTACAATCTCGTCAATGATTTCAAATGGCTAATTTTATCTGCTTGGATTTTCGTAATTTCATTCCCATCTAAATACAACTCGGAAGTTTCCGGTGGAATTCCTCTCGGAATTTCCTTCAATTTCGCTTTGGAACATCTAACTATAGTTCCAGTACAAACGCAACTCGGTGGGCAGTAGTTTTCACCTAAACAACCCTGATCACCATCATCTAAAAGAAAAATGAAACTGATTTTCAAGTATACCTATACAGTAAAATTAAAACATCGATATAGTGGATTAATACGGGGAAGGGGGAGTCCGTTATATGAAAATTTTTTAATTTGTAACATTAGAACTAAGACTAGAACTAGAAACAATCGGGATTAGCCACAAGTCTCTCAAGATGGCTAAACCCGAATGATACTAGTTCAAGGACTAGTGTTAGTTCTAGTGACAGTCAGAAGCATTAGCACTGTCACTAGAACTAACACTAGACCAAGAACTAGAATCATTCGGGTTTAGCCGTCTTGAGAGACGTGCGGCTAAACCCGAATGATTCTAGTTCTTGGTCTAGTGTTAGTTGTAATGACAGTCAGAAGCATTAGCACTATAAAACACAATGTATTCTGATGAACAATGAATGATTTCTTATATAATCTGATCATCAACCTGTGATATATAATCACTTCTAGCATATTGTGGTGATCTTCCAACAATACTTTACAATTTTCAGTAAATTTCTATTAAACTCAATGTATTCTGATGATCATTGGATGATATCTTATATTTTCTAATTATCAACCTGTGATAAATGATCATTTTCAGTATATTATAATGATGTTGCAATGATATATAAATACTTTTACAATATTCCTATTAAACTCAACGTATTCTGACGACCTATAATTGATTTCTTATAATTTTTGTAATACAACCCGTAATATATGAGCACTCTTAGCTTATTATGCTGATCTTATAATAATATTTTACGATTTTCAGCATATTTTAAGATCATACTGATGATCTTTTGATATAATGTTACATATATTGATTATCAACTTGTAATATATGAGCACTTTCAACATATTACGACTATGTTGCAATGATTTTTAAAGATTTTCACTATATTCCTATGAAGCTCAATGTATTCTGATGGCCTATAAATGATTTCTTATAGTTTCTGGTCATCAACCTATGATATATAATCACATTTAGTATAATATGATGATGTTCCAATGACATTTTATGATTTACAGTATAGTCTTATGAAACTCAATATATTCCGATGATCTCTGGATGACTTCTTATATTTTTTGATCATCAACCTGTAATATATGATAACTTTTAGCATTTTATGCTGATCTTTCAATGATATTTTACGATTTTCAGTATATTTCTATGAAACTCAATGTATTCTAATGGCCTATAAATGATTTCTTATAGTTTCTGATCATCAACCTATGATATATGATCATATTTAGCATAATATGATGATGTTCCAATGACATTTTAAGATTTACAGTATATTCCTATGAAACTCAATGTATTCTGATGATCTCTGGATGACTTCTTATATTTTTTGATCATCGACCTGTAATATATGATAACTTTTAGTATATTATGTTGATCTTCCAATGATATTTTACGATTTTGAGTATATTCCTATTAAACTCAATGTATTTTGATGATCTTTGGATGATGTCTTACATTTTCTGATCATCAACNTATTATGCTGATCTTATAATAATATTTTACGATTTTCAGCATATTTTAAGATCATACTGATGATCTTTTGATATAATGTTACATATATTGATTATCAACCTGTAATATATGACCACTTTCAACCTAGTATGACTATGTTGCAATGGTTTTTAAAGATTTTCACTATATTCCTATGAAGCTCAATGTATTCTGATGGCATATGAATGATTTGTCATAGTTTCTGATTATCAACCTATGATATATGGTCACATTTAGCATAATATGATGATGTTCCAATGACATTTTATGATTTACAGTATATTCTTATGAAACTCAATATATTCTGATGATCTCTGGATGACTTCTTATATTTTTTGATCATCAACCTGTAATATATGATAACTTTTAACATTTTATGCTGATCTTTCAATGATATTTTACGATTTTCAGTATATTCCTATGAAACTCAATGTATTTTGATGATCTTTGAATAATGTCTTAAGCCGTGTGTCCACTACCAAGTTTTCTTGCGGAAGTTGCTTCCAGAAGTGACTTCCGCAAGAAAACTTGGTAGTGGACACACGGCTTTACATTTTCTCATTATCAACTTGTTATATATGATCATTTTCAGCACATTATGATGATGTTGCATTATCTAAATATTTTTACAATATTCCTATGAAACTCAAAGTATTCTGATGACCTATAAATGATTTTTTATATTTTTTGATCATCAACCTATGATATATCATCACATTTAGCATAATATGATGATGTTCCAATGACATTTTATGATTTACAGTATATTCTTATGAAACTCAATATATTCCGATGATCTCTGGATGACATCTTATATTTTTTGATCATCGACCTGTAATATATGATAACTTTTAGTATATTATGTTGATCTTCCAATGATATTTTACGATTTTGAGTATATTCCTATTAAACTCAATGTATTTTGATGATCTTTGGATGATGTCTTACATTTTCTGATCATCAACCTATGATATATGATCACATTTAGCATAATATGATGATGTTCCAATGACATTTTATGATTTACAGTATATTCCTATGAAACTCAATATATTCTGATGATCTCTGGATGACTTCTTATATTTTTTGATCATCAACCTGTAATATATGATAACTTTTAGCATATTATGCTGATCTTCCAATGATATTTTATGGTTTTCAGTATATTCCTATGAAACTCAATGTATTTTGATGATCTTTGGATGATATCTTACATTTTCTGATTATCAACCAATAATATGGTCATTTTTACCACATTATGATGATGCTGTAATTATATCTAAATATTTTCACAGTATTCCTATGAAACTCAATATATTCTGATGACCTATAAGTGATTTCTTATCTTTTTTGATCATCATCTTGTCATAAATGATCACATTTAGCGTATTAAGGTGATCTTCCAATGATATTTTACGATTTTTAAAATATTCCTATTAAACTCAATGTATTTTGATGATCTTTGGATGACATCTTACATTTTCTGATTATCAACGTGTAATATATGATCATTTTCACCACATTATAATGATGTTGCAATTATATCTAAATATTTTCATACTATTCCTATGAAACTCAATGTATTCTGATGACCTATAAATGATTTTTTATATTTTTTGATCATCAACATATGATATATGATCACATTTAGCATAATATGATGATGTTCTAATGATATTTTATGATTTTCAGTATATTCCTATGAAATTAAATATATTCCGATGATCTCTGGATGACTTCTTATATTTTTTGATCATCGACCTGTAACATATGATAACTTTTAGCATATTATGCTGATGTTCCAATGATATTTTATGGTTTTTAGTATATTCCTATGAAACTGAATGTATTTTGATGATCTTTGGATGATATCTTACATTTTCTGATTATCGACCAATAATATATGATCATTTTCACCGCATTATGATGATGTTGCAATTATATCTAAATATTTTCACAGTATTCCTATAAAACTCAATATATTCTGATGACCTATAAATGATTTCTTATCTTTTTTGATCATCATCTTGTCATAAATGATCACATTTAGCGTATTAAGGTGATCTTCCAATGATATTTTACGATTTTTAAAATATTCCTATTAAACTCAATGTATTTTGATGATCTTTGGATGACATCTTACATTTTCTGATTATCAACGTGTAATATATGATCATTTTCACCACATTATAATGATGTTGCAATTATATCTAAATATTTTCATACTATTCCTATGAAACTCAATGTATTCTGATGACCTATAAATGATTTTTTATATTTTTTGATCATCAACATATGATATATGATCACATTTAGCATAATATGATGATGTTCTAATGATATTTTATGATTTTCAGTATATTCCTATGAAATTAAATATATTCCGATGATCTCTGGATGACTTCTTATATTTTTTGATCATCGACCTGTAACATATGATAACTTTTAGCATATTATGCTGATGTTCCAATGATATTTTATGGTTTTTAGTATATTCCTATGAAACTGAATGTATTTTGATGATCTTTGGATGATATCTTACATTTTCTGATTATCGACCAATAATATATGATCATTTTCACCGCATTATGATGATGTTGCAATTATATCTAAATATTTTCACAGTATTCCTATAAAACTCAATATATTCTGATGACCTATAAATGATTTCTTATCTTTTTTGATCATCATCTAGTGATATATGATGACATTTAGCGTATTAAGGTGATCTTCCAATGATATTTTACGATTTTTAAAATATTCCTATTAAACTCAACGTATTTTAATGATCTTTGGATATAATGTTACATATATTGATTTATTAACGTGTAGTATATGACCACTTTCAACATATTATGACTATGTTGCAATGATTTCTAAAGATTTTCACTATATTCCTGTGAAACTCAATATATTCCGATGATCTCTGGATGACTTCTTATCTTTTTTATCATCGACGTGTTATATATGATAACTTTTAGCATATTATGCTGATCTCCCAATTATATTTTAAGATTTTCAGTATATTCCTATTAAACTCAATGTATTTTAATTATGATTAATTTATTATTACTTTTTTTTATTATTTTATTGTTATTACTGATTATTTTCTTTCTTTTTATTATTAATGGGTGAATAAAAGTATTATTATTATTATCTTTGGATGATATCTTACATTTTCTGATTATCAACCTGTAATATATGATGAGGCGTGCGGCCACATTATGATGATGTTGCAATTATATATATTATTATTATTATTACGTATTCTGATGACCTATAAAAGATTTCTTATCTTTTTTGATCATCATCATGTAATATATGCTCACATTTAGCATATTAAGGTGATCTTCCAATGATATTTTACGATTTTTAATATATTCCTATGAAACTCAATGTATTCTGATGACCTATAAATGATTTCATATATTTTTTGATCATTAACCTGTGATATATGATCACTTTTAGCATATTACGATGATCTTCCAATAATACTTAATGATTTTCAGTGTATTTCTATCAGCCTCAATGTATTCTGATCATCTTAAGATGATTTCTGATATTCTTTGATCATCAACCTGTGATATATGATCACATTTAGCATATCATGATGGTGTTGCAATGATATTTCATGATTTTCAGTATATTCCTATGAAAATCAATATATTCAGCTGATGATTTCTTATATTTTTTGATCATAAACCTGTGACATATGATCACTTTTAGCATATTATGATGATCTTTCCATATTTTTCAATATTTTTCTATAATTTGTAATGCATTCTAAGATCTTTACACGATTTTTTTATTTTCTGATCATCAACTTATGATATCTGATCACTTTTAAAAGATTATAACTTGAGAATCGTTTGATAATAATTGTTCAAAAACAATAATTTTTATTTTATTTTCTTGCTGATGATCATTTTATGGTATTTGAGTAACTTGTAACTATTTTCAGAGCATCTGATGACACGAGAAAGTGAAAATGATATAATTGTCGAAACCTTGACACTTTTCTCTTTATTAGAAAAAAAGATGACAACAAAAGCGTTCCCAAATTACCATACAGTTATTTTATAATGCTAAAGCCATAGGTATTTTAAATCATTATTATATTAATTTCGTGATAGTCGAGTACTTTCTAGGCTGTATCATTTGGGTTTAGCCGTCTAGTGTTAGTTGTAGTGACAGTGCTAATGCTTCTGACTGTCACTTGAACTAACACTAGTCCTAGAACTAGCATGATTTGGGTGTAAGAGACGTGCTGCTAAACAGGAAGTGCTAGCTCTAGTTTTAGTTGTTATTCAGGGTTATATTATGGTGTCACACTAGCATTAGAACTAACGCTAGAAACTAGAACTAGAAACATTTGGGTTTAGCCACACGTCCCTCAAGACGGCTAAACCCGAATGATTGTAGATCTAGTGTTAGTTCTATTTCTAATTTAATAAATATATGCAATAATTTAGCGTTGAATTATAATTAAAACTAGAACTAACACTAGACCTTGAACTAGAAAGTATAGGGTTTAGCCGTGCGTCCTTATACTAGCACTATCACTAGAACTAACACAAGACCTAGAACTAGAATCAGTCGCGTTTAGCCGCCTTGAGAGACGTGCGGCTAAACCCGATTATTTCTAGTACTCGGTCTAGTGTTAGTTCCAGTTTTGCACTAGAACTAACATAAGACCTAGAACTCGAATCATTCAGATTTAGCCGTCTTGACAAACGTGCGGCTAAATCCGAATGTTTCTAGTTCCCGGTCGAGTGTTAGTTCTAGTTTTACACTAGCACTATCACTAGAACTAACAATAGACCTAGAACTAGAATCATTCGGGTTTAGCTGCCTTGAGAGACGTGCGGCTAAACCCGAATGTTTCTAGTTCAAGGTCTAGTGTTAGTTCTAGTTTTACACTAGCACTATCACTAGAACTAACACAAGACCTAGAACTAGAATCATTCGGGTTTAGCCGTCTTGAGAGACGTGCGGCTAAACCCGAATATTTCTAGTTTTAAGTCTAGTATTAGTTCCAGTTTTGCGCTAGAACTAACACAAGACCAAGAACTAGAATCATTCGGGTTTAGCCGTCTTGAGAGACGTGCGGCTAAATCCGAATGTTTCTAGTTCTAGGTCTAGTGTTAGTTCTAGTTTTACAGTAACACTATCACTAGAACTAACAGTAGACGTAGAACTAAACTCATTCGGGTTTAACCGTTTTGAGAGACGTGCGGCTAAACTCGAATATTTAATAAAAATATAATTTCGAAATACTTACTGGTACATTTAAATTCATTTTGAGGTAATTCTCTAATTAACACATCTCGAACTCTAAAAGGTGAAGCGCATCTCGGCGAGGAACCACTTAATCCTCTTATTTTAAGCCATTCGCTAAACCACGCCAAGTGGCAATTACATATAAAAGGATTTTGGGCTAAATTCCTATAAAATAAAACAAATGTGATTAATAATGGAAATAAAAATAAGAATTAATTTAAATTACAATGTATGTAAAGAAGTTAAGTGATCAAAAGATCCAGGCATAACACAAGTAATTTTATTGTTATTCAAAGAAAGGATTTTTAGATTATGTAATCCTAAAAACATTTTGTTGTGGATTTCTAATAATTTATTCTCAGAGAGGAGCCTAAAATAATAAAAAAAATAGATTGAGATAAAAAATAATTAATATATTTACAATTCTGAGATATAAGAAGCTCCTTCAAACGAATTTTCTTCAATTCCAATTATTTGATTTCTTCTTAAATCAAGTTTTATCAAATTTGGTAATCTTCCAAACAACCCATCAGATTTAATCTTCCCTAATTCGTTATCGTTTAAAAGCCTTGAAAAGAAAAAAACATTTTTATATCTTTTTAACACTTTTTAAATGATTAAATACAATTCTGTCGTGTAAAGTGGAATATCTCTCGGAATTTCTTTTAAATTCCTCCCGGAACAATTAACAGTTGTCCCATCGCAAGTACATCCAGAAGGACATGCATTATCTATTAAACATTCCCCAGCAAATCGTGTTCGGAACTCTTCGTGGCCTAAAATAACAAATTTAACACATATTTAATTAAAATTTGAAAACTTACATTTAAATTTTTCATCTTTTAAAATTTCTATCCTCTTTTTTTGCATTCTTTTTGGCGATTCACATTTCGCCCCAGAAGTCTCGATCGGATTCTTATGCAAATACTCGGCTAACCATTTCAAATTACAATCGCAAATAAATGGGTTTCGCGCTAAATGCAATGTTTGTATGCTTCTTAATGAATCGAAACTTCCGTTTGCTAATGATTGAATGTTGTTGTCGTAAAGTGAGAGTAAACTTAAACTTGGTAAATCGGAAAATGTGTCTTTGCGTATGCAGGAAATTTCATTTGCGTTTAATAACCTAAAAAAAAATTAATTTTTATGGTTTTGAGTTATTTTAATTTTTAATTAATTACAATAATTGAAGTGAAACGAGTCCTTGAAAAATTCCGGCCGGAAGGTCTTTAATTTTATTTCCGTAAAGAATTAATGTTGTTAACGATTTTAATCCTTGGAAAGCGTCGTGGGATATTTTTGTGATTTTATTAGTACTTAAATCACTTAAAACATAAAAAAAATTATTTTTCTTGATAAATGCTTACTAATAAATTTTACTTACATTCTTTTGAGTCGTTTATGAGCTGCAAAAGCTCTCGGAGGTATCTCGGTTATCTCATTTTGTTCTAATCGCAACTCTTGAGTTCCTTCCGGTAAATGATCAGGAACTTTTGATAATCCTTTTTCTCGGCAATCAACGATTCCATCCGCGCATTGACATGGATGTGGGCACTGTGGTTCGCTGACACATTCACCAGTCATCGTTGTTTCAACTAAACCTTAAAAAAAATTACAATTTATTGACTTATCTTTGTTAAAAAGAAAATTAATTACCTGAACATTTAAATTCTTGTTCCCGTAAATCGACGACATTCTGCCCCTTGATGTGATTGGGCGAGTGACACTTCGTGTTTTGCCCTAAACGAGCGTTGTGCCTTAAGTATCTTGCCAACCAAGATAACTGGCAGTCGCAATGAAGGAGGTTGTCGTTTAGTTTTAAGACGCGAAGTCGAAACATATTCTTGAACATATCTCTTCCTATCCATGTTAAATTGTTGTTGTTTAATGATCTAATTAGAAATTAAAAATAGATTGTTAATAAACATCTTTCTTAAAAATAAGATCAATATTAAATTTACTTCGTTATAACATTTCCATCTAAATAATACTTGGAAAAGAGTTAATATGTCTTATGGAAGACTAGATATTAATGGCAGAAGACTTAATGCTGCTAATGTAATATTTGATACCACTAAGACAAGACTTTAATGCTTAGGATTACTTTCTGATTGTAGAAGATTAAATGTAAGTAGCGTGTGACTACATATAACAACTAATAAATGACAAAATACTGCTTATAGAACATTAGATACTGCTTGGAGATGACTAGATAGTGCATGGAGACGACAAATTGCTGCTAGTAGAACACTATGCACCACCGGCAAAAGAGTGCTAGTTTTAGTAAACTAGATACTGCTTGCAGATGACTAAATACTACTTGCAGATAACTATATACTGCAGATGAATAGATAATACATAAAGAAGACTAACTGTTACTTGCAGAACACTAAACACCACCGGCAAAAGAGTAATGGTTACAGAAGACTAGATACTGCTTGCAGATGATTGATACTGCTTGCAGATGAGTAAATACTGCTTCTAGGTGACTAAATACTGCTTGCACATGACTAGATAGTGCATGAAGCAGACTAAGTGCTGCTTGTAGAACACTATACACCACCGGCAAAAGAGTACTAGTTATAGAAACCTAGATATTGCTTGCAGATGACTAAATACTGCTTGCAAATAACTATATACTGCTTGCAGATGAATGGATAATACATAAACAAGACTAACTGCTACTTGCAGAACACTAAACACCACCGGAAAACGAGTAATGGTTACAGAAGACTAGATACTGCTTGTAGATGATTGATACTGCTTGCAGATGACTAGACACTGCTTCTAGATGACTAAATACTGCTTGCAAATGACTAGATAGTGCATGAAGCAGACTAAGGGCTGCTTGTAGAACACTATACACCACCGGCAAAAGAGTACTAGTTATAGAAAGCTAGATACTGCTTGCAGATGACTAAATACTGCTTGCAGATATATAGATAATACATAATGTGCGTTAGCGTGAGTTGTTCATTGGTAGAAATACAGTGAGCGGGCTTTCTACGCGTTGTTGTAACATGTTTGAAATTCCTCGTCATATCACGGCAATGTTTGAGAGATCTGTTTTTTATAATGCCATCAAATTATATAATAATCTTCCAGTTGATTTAGAGCAAATGAATTCAACACGTTTTTCCAGGTCCAGTAAGCAATTATTTTTGTTATTATCATAGATGTGAATAAGACTAATACTAGCGATTTGTATGAATTAAAGTAATTTTACTTCAGATGATTAAACTCCGCTATTAGGTTTATTATTATGTATTGTATTTTGGTTCTTTAGAGTGTTAAACTTTTATTTGATAGAAAGGGCTTGACATGTTATTATTCCTTTTGTTTGGGAGAGTAACTGGTTAAGTACAGAATAGCCTTGGGCTAAACTTCGCCAGTTGATCTCCTACCTACATTATCTAAATAAAGGCTTATTACTATTATTATTATAATTAAAAAGAAGACTAACTGCTACTTGCAGAACACTAAACACCGCTTGTACTGCTTGCAGATGATTGATACTGCTTGTAGATGACTAGATACTGCTTGTAGATGACTAAATACTGCTTGCACATAACTAAATAGTGCATGAAGAAGACACTATACACCAACGGAAAAAGAGTACTAGTTATAGAAAGGTAGATACTGCGTGCAGATGACTAAATACTGCTTGCAGTTAACTATATACTGCGTACAGATGAATAGATAGTACATAAAGAAGATTAACTGCTACTTGAAGAACACTAAACACCACCGTCAAAAGAGGTTTACAGCAGACTAGATAATGCTTGCAGATGATTGATACTGCTTGCAGATGACTAGATACTGCTTCTAGATGACTAAATACTGCTTGCACATGACTAGATAGTGCATGAAGAAGACTAAGTGCTGCTTGCAGAACACTAAACACTACCGGTAAAAAATACTGGTTACAGAAGACTAGATACTGCTTGGAGATGGCTAGATACTGCTTGGAGATAACTAGATAGTGCATCAAAAAGACTAAGGGCTGGTTGTACAATATACCGATAAATTTCTCGACAGCGTTATCTAGCCGATAAGTTACTTTGTACTGTATACAATGTATGGATATTTTTGTTGCCTCGATTAGCGGCAGGATAACTTATCGGGTACTCAGCGTTGCTGATAAGACAGTTATCCACCAGATATATATGATTACCACGGATTTTATATAAAAACTTTGTATGGTTACTGCATAAATTAACCTATAACATTCATACGTACGTTGAGTCAGTTGTGTCGTAAAAAAATTTTTAAACAATTGTTATTATTGTCAAAATCATAGTTCAAATTTCAAAGGAAGACATTAGCGTTATCAACCTATGGCATAAATTACTAGATATAGGGAAAAAATACTACCAACCGACTCTTATTTCGCCTATAGCAATCCTACCGACAAAAACAGTTTGTACAACAACGAATATCTTTATCTTGATTGTACAACCGGCCTTAAGTGCTATTTGCAAAACAATAAACACTATCAGCAAATGAGTACTGGTTACAGGAGACTAGATACTGTTTGCAGATGACTAGATAGTGCATGAAGAACACTAATTGTAAGTGCTGTTTGCAATACACTAACCACTACCGGCAAAAGAGTACTGGTTACAAAAAAATAGATACTAGTTGCAGATGACTAGATAGTACATGAACAAGACTAACAATAAGTGCTACTTGCAGAACTCTACACTCTACGGATAAAAGAGGTCTGATTCATTTTTGTTTCTTTTTAATTTATAATTAGCGTAAATCGCTCTAAAAAAATTATAGTGATATAACTTTGATAAATGCAAAAACAAATGCAATTATTTAACATATTTTGGTTAAAACCGCGTTAAAATCCACCCAGCCGATTTTGACATAACCACATCCCACTAAACTGTCATTTTCTGTGAAACTTTAGGGAATACCGAAAAAATAAAATGTGATCCTCACACATCATTTTACCACCTGTTCAAATTTGAAATGTTTTCGTCGGGTACTTTTTTCATTTAACTAACGATAGAAGGAAAACCGAAGAACCGAAAATGTTCAAATTCACATATGTTACGTAGAAATGTTCAATGATTACGACACACTTTACCGCAATCTTTTTCATCGAGCAGTTGCGAAGATATCAATCTATTAAATGAGGGACCTTAACTTTTGGCACGGATAGTAGATATTGTTTGCAGAACATTTAGGCAAGTATTGTATGCCTAAAAATTGTTAATAGAAGACTAAATGATCCATGAGGAAGTAAAAATACTGTTTCCAGAAAAGTAGATAACATTTTCAAAAAATTAGATACTGTTGGCCAAGTACTAGATACTGCATTAAGAAGACTGAATAAAATCGCTTGAAAATGAGTAGATACTGCTCGCAAAAAGGACTGAAAATGGAAATTTAGATAAAAAAATCATTGAATCAATTAACATTGAAGTATGACTGCTTGTTTCAGCGATGAACCACATTTCTATCTTTCTGGCAGTCTTAACAAGTAGAACTTTCGGTATTGCAATGTAAACAAGCTAAATTTATTTTGCTCCAAATTGAAGAACTTCATTTGAAGGATTTTTGATTTTAACAGGGTGGGAGAATATAAGTTGTTTTTCTCTCTCTATATGGTTCTACAGCCTGAATCAAGCTTTAGCCTCCCTGAACCTTTTTTCTTTCAGTTTCTGCCTCCGATAATCTACTTAGCGTCCAGGCCAACTACATCCACCAATTTTATCGTCAGCCGCCCCCTCGGTCTCACTCCTTGCATCCTTACTAATGGCACATAATAACCAGAAATGACACTGACGTCGATTCGTTATTATTATTCGTTATTACCAAAAGCACAGAATCAAGGTCCGTTGAGTAAACATACTGTTTAAGGTTATCCAACTCCCTATGAACGCTGTTGTTATGAACGTATTCGTCTTGAGAGACGTGCGATTCTAGTTCTAGGTATAGTGTTACTTTTAGTAACAGTACTAGTGTAAAACTAGAACTAACATTATACTTAGAACTAGAATCATTTGGGTTTAGCCGTCTTTAGAGACGTGCGGCTAAACCTAAATGATTCTAGTTCTAAGGTATAGTGTTAATTGTACATGGTAACAGTGGTAGTATAAAACTAGAACTACCACTAGACCTAGAACTGGAAAATTTCGGGTTTAGACGTGCGTCTTCAATACGTATATTAGATTATATAGTAGAACTAGAATCATTTGGGTTTAGCCGTCTTAAGAGACGTGAACCAGAAGTGACACTAGCGGTATCCCGCCAAATCTTTACCACCAATAGCAACATACCTTGGTAACTCGCTATAATATGGCGTCAGATTATCGCGATACTGCCACTTCTGTGCTAATGGTGCTAGTGGCACAGAATAACCAGAAGTAAGACTGGCCAAATGTGACGCCATATTGTTGTGAGGAAACAAGGTATTGTCACAGAATAACCAGAAATGACACTGACGTCGATTCGTTTGATGTTGGCAGCACCTCGTTTTGTGATTTCGATTTAAAAATCCGTCATCTTATCGAGGGTCACCAAAGGCGTGTATTAGAACGAAAACGTTGAATAACTTACCATCATACCTTGGTGACCCTCCACAATATGGCGTCTGTTTTGGCGAGATAACCCCAGTGTCACATCTGGTTATTCTGTGGTATTGCTGCTATTGATGGTAAATTGAGTTATCTCTCTCATTCATTATGCGTTTATCGCGCCTATGGATCCTCGTTATGTGATGGCGGATTTTAAATCAAGGTCATAAAACGAGATGTCGCCAACATCAAACGAATCCATGTCAGTGTTATTTGTGGTTATTCTGTGGTATTGCTGGTAAATTAAGTTGTCTTTCTAAGGTCCATTACTACCATCTTTTAGTTAAATTTATCTTATAGATAAACCCAATCTACTAGCCAATCAGAGTGCGTAAAATAGCCGTTACCATGGTAATAATCCCTTAGATAGCTTAACCAGAAGATGGTAGTAACGAGTCTAAGGCCCACTTTTACCACCTCTTGATAAATTTAACCGATAGATAAATTGGCGCTCTTAGCCAATGAGAGCGCTTAAAACCGCTGTAACCATGGTAATTATCTATCGGTTAAATTTATCAAGAGGTGGTAAAAGTGGGCCTTAGTTCAATAATAATATACAACAATCT